TTTTTCAGCAAAATTGAAAAAGAAATGTTTTACTTATAATTTAATGATTCATCACTGATGATTTTATTAACATGAACAGACATATACATAATACATACATATACATGTACATATACATACAGTAAACAGATTCCATAACAGAGTAACATATTTTACAATATAGCATCGACCCTTTAATCAAAATACAAAATGTGTAGGGTTTGTAACATTTTGCCACTTCCCTTTCATAAATCTGTTTGAAAATGTCAACACCTTTACTTAAGGATTTAAGCCCTGGACTCAGTGCATTGTTTGCTGAATCATACCAAGAAGGTGTTGTTTCCAAATATTTGCATGGCCGCGCAGCGGGAATGCAAATTTTAAGGAACAAAGCCTGATTGGAATGAAGCAGCTACAATGCATTGAGTCTTAAATTCTTTTCACACTTTTGCAAAATAGTTTCACCAAAGTCATCTAAAAGGAACAAAATCACCAAAAGAATACATTTTTAATGACATTTTTTGCAAGGGTCAAGTTGGCAAGTCATCAAATCCAATGTGAGAAGTCCATTCATCATCATAACAACTGTTTAACTGAAGACCTTACATGTGTTATTGATATTTCACACACTGTTCATTATGTGAATACTCTGTTCTGATTGGCTGGAATCAGACACACCTTGCCTAGCTATGTGTGAATCAGGTTTTACCCATACAATTTGGCCATTTAACATGGATAGAATCACACTAAGTACATGTATTATCCTCATGTCAGAGCATCGATATTTTTGTTTTCTGGATGTGGTCCTGTTCTTGCATTACACAAAGTGGCAATAATTCAAACTTTAACTGATACTGCTCTAGACCTATCATATTGTTATTGCCTTGCAGAGATGTTAAATGGCAATAAAAAAAGAATATCGCAAATTATAGCTGAATAATTGCACTTTTGAAATGATCAGCCATGTCTAACACACTTAGCTACTACATTCTGATACTCTTTGCATCCATACCAAGAAATGAAGAATGTTGTAATTTTCTTCTTCACTTTCTTAAATGTTAGCCTTAACATAATGGCCATTATATTGTATCATAATTGTCATGTTATTAATTTTGCATACCTGCTGTAATTGGTCAAGTGATTTGCAGGAATTCCCCTTTAATGTCAAATCAGGAGATATCATTCATTATGAACCAAGGATTCTTGTGATTTGGGAAGTACCATTGTTTACCAAATGTTGTCATTGACAATGGTTATTCCATTTATACACTTATTCACTGCATCTGAATATACAATCTTTTTTTTTAAAATATTGAATAAGAAATTTTGTGATTGCTCTCTCAAAATGATACTGTAACCCTTTTAAGTTTTATTCTTTTGTTCATATGTACATGTATTAAATGATGCACATAATATATAAACATTCATTATTATATTACACACTGAATACTATATGCATTAACCGCCTGATGCAAGTATATATTTTTAAAATATAACGCCTGGTATGCACAGTCGTACCAGATGGTTGCAAATGGGAAGGGAGCCCCCATACCCTGAATGCACGTTTTTCACTTCACTCAACTCGTATTCCCAATGATGGCATACTACTTATAAAAATACCTCTATACACCCATGGAATTATGTGATAAATGTTGCTGTTGTCTCTTATCCTCCTTTTTGACATGTTAGTAGTATAAACCCTGTAAATGCTTAAACTCTGGGAAAGTCAGTCCAAACACATCAGATTTCAATTATCATTTTCATTCATTACCTTACACTATGAATAATAATTCTAGCCCAAAAGCTCATTCTGAGAAAAACCAGGTTGTCAGAAATAAACATCTTTCATTTCATACAAATCATCCCTCTTGGGTACATGATATGATGTATAACATGCCAGATACATTTTTCAGATAGCATGAAATGATTGTACAGATATTGTGTCTGTCATAATCTACATTCTACAACATTCATTAATCATTGCAATGTGTACACATTCTTGTTGGACATCTGTAGTTTTAAAATACTATCTATTTGTACTCTGGTTTTGCATTTACAGAATAGATAAATGAAAATGGTAAACAACATCTAGTATAATACATAATGTGTTATATCCTATATGGTTCATTCATTTGTATAACAGCTAGGCCTGTATATCAGACATTTAAGCTCTTTCATGCTATATGACCATTGCCATGATGCCATAACACTCCATGATAATTCCAGTAATAATATGATATTTACATTTTTATAATGAAGCACAATTATTCTGAATATAAGGATATATTTCGGTCACAAAAAGTGATTTGACAAATCTCAGAGGTGCTGAAGTTTTTTTAAAGATACATTGTTATGACCACATCTGAGTCAGTAGTCATATATTGAGCCATTTAATTATAAATAATCAAATAACTTGTTGCTTGTTAATTCCTAAATTGATTATGCACCAATACATAACTTACACAATTGGAGCCACTAACCCATTTTCATTTATCAGCAAATACATGATATACTGTACAGTCATGGTGATTTCTGAAAATTAAACACATAGGTTAGATGAAAGAACAAACAATCATTTATTCTCTCACAAGTGTATCATTAAAAACATTTCTTTGTTTCATTTAGTATATTCTCTAATTGCTTCTAGGGGTCAGACAGTTAACTAAAACTTCGAAGCTCTGATCGTCATTGGGGTCAGCAGTTTTTTGTTCAAAAAATTGCTCAGTTTGGTTTTTAACTCATTGCTGACCAACCCCGAGATATTTCGTCTATGACATTATCAGGCCTGTCAACTGTCCCGCAATTTGCGTATTTGTCACGCATTTGCTGAAGAATTTGAAGTCACGCCAGTTATTTTTGCGTGACAGAAAATGTCACGCAAATACGCATTTTACCTGGTAATTGTCAAGCAAAAATCTTTCTGTAGAAAATTTTCTAAAAAAGATCGTCTACACAGCAAAAATACGAACGACGGGAAAAAAACGTACGCATTTCGTTCGGACTTTTCACGCGAATTACGGATGTGTCACGCATTCCGTTCGATATTTTTCGTAGCTAAATTTAGCTAAATAAAATTTAAACCAAGGTGTTCAAAATTTGGATCAAGGTGTTCAGATTTGGACCAAGGTGTCCACATTTTGAGGGGAGGTGTTCAACATTTCCAAGTCACTCATGTTAGGTGTTCCCAAGTTGACAGGCCTGCATTATAATCATATGTGACCAACCTTGGGGTGCTTTCCAGTAATTGTCACATAATCTGTACCAGTTATCTTATGAAATATTGTAGTGGTCACTAGGGGAACCTGATAAGGTGCAATTGAAATATTTTGTCATTGGCTTCACAAATGGCATATAACTTAGCGCATAGGGTGTTGATATAGTCTATTTTATGCTAATGTGAAAACATGCAATTTTCAAAATCAAAATTGTCAGCCACCAGCATAAAACCTCAAAAATAGCTTTGGCCAGCAATGAGTTAATGGGAATAACAGGAAAATTACCATTAGTAACTGCATTTTTGTTAAAATAATGCAGATCAAGAAAATGTCTGATGTTGAGAAAAACATCAATGGATGAGGAAGATATTAGTGTCCAAATATCAGATTCACTTGACACATGTATTATTTTAACAGTTTTAAGTGTTCAGCATTACATTCGTGAAATTTCAAGACATACGGTAGCCTATAACATGCTATTAAATACATTGTAATCTTACAAACTATAGTTTTGTTTTACATTATGTTCAAAGCAGAATATAATAATAATAGCCCAATGAGAACTGAATATCGAACTGAAAACTGAACCGGAACTGAAATGTTTGAAACTGTCTACCCCTAATTGCTTTGTAAGATGTATATAGGTTTGTTTTATTTTTTGTTTCAATTGTTGCCCTTTGTGATATACACAATGAATCATTGTGTTATCTTTAAATATACATGTTTAACATATAGCTAAAATATATACATTTGTAATTCATTTTCAGACTACACGTATATGTTATATTCAATCTCATGTCCATATAAGAGTGAGAGACAACAATGAATAATAGTTCTAAATATTCTAATTTGTTTTTCAATAAAAACATCTTTTCGATGTGCTATTTACATTGTATCTCAATACAATGTAATATCTTGTAATATTATATATAAATCATACAATAAGATTTAATCATTATACATTGTACACACATCTGAATATATGAATATAGTATTATAAATATACAGTGCAACTTTCAAATATATCATTGCAGTATGCAAATGTTGCATTATCTTAATATATGATGACCCATGAAGGTTACTTTTGAAAATGTAAGCAAAACAGTTTTTCTGAATTGCACTAAAAGTCCAACAAGTTAAGATTGTCTGCTGTATGATGATATTAGTACATTAATGATTAGATTTTTATAAGCATTTTATTGAGCCCTAAAAATGCAGAATCAACCGGTAGCATTATGAAAATGTATTACTTTGAGCTAATCAGCTGTTATACAACCCTCCAACAAGGAGAGATGATGCAAGCATTTATACGTTTCTGATTGACAGTATTAGATATTCAAAAAGTCAAGTGATATCATATTTTAAACTTATATATCAATTACATCTTGAAATAGGAATCAAAAATTGTTTATAAACTTTGAAATTTTGATTTTCCTTGAAAATGTTACTTCTACAGGTAGGTCATGTTAATTCCATTAGAGCTCATGTTATATAATTTTTTCTTGCTGTATAGGACAGAAATTACTAAATATATTAAAAATATTCTGTACTAATGAGTTTATGGTATTTTTTAACTAAAACTAAATTAAACTACCTACTGGCACGTTGGTAATTAAGATTCAGTTTCTTCAAGTAGTATGTGATAATATGTAATGACATTTTGATAAAGCTAGTATTTTCATGCACTCATGTTTTGCTCACTATTTCCTTGCTCATTGATATTCTCCAGGAATGATTCAAAGTATTTGATATATACAGAATAATATAATAGAAATACAAATATTCTGCAAACTCTTAAAGAGCCATAGAATGTGACTTAAGCAATCATATTTGCCACAATAAGAGAAATGCAGGAAAACTGCAGTCCAAGGTGAATCTTTGGAGTGTAGGGAATGAATTATGAATACTAACATCAATAAGCAGCACATTATTTAAATGTGTTGAAACTAAAGTGTCTTATTTAATATAATACAATCCCCTTCATCCCATTGTATGTACATGTACCTCACATGTTAAATGGTCATACATATTTGGCCCTCTGTTTTTTTACCTTGTATAGTCCTGTGCCTGTCAAATCATAGCAAATTGCCTTGATCCTTTAACATGAAGCCTCGCACATTGCATTCTCAGTTACCAGATTGATTTTCAATCGAACGAGTATCATTATACCTTTTAACTATCCAAAAACAAACAAGTCATTAATCCAGAACCTGTGACTGCCAATTACAAAATATTATGATTTTGAAGGCATTTCAACCTGTTATGGCATGAAAACATCAGAAGTCTGTCATTTGAAATCCAACATAAACAGACTGATATGTTTAACAAATCATCCGTCTTTGATTGAACACACTCACACTGAGGTGTCCCTTGTACTTGTATACACATAGGAAAAATTTCTGTTGGAGCTTCTTACTGTATTATGCTCACTACTAAAGATGCTGTGGTAGTGATTGGAGCATTTCTGAACACAAACGATCTTTTTAAATGTTTGCCAGAATTTCTCACTGAACCAACAGTACAAAACAAAGTTAACCGCAGATTTAATAGTGATAAGGAGTTTGGAAACCGACATGAAAGTGAACAAGGTAGGTGTAATGGTGTTGATAATCCTTGTTTTGTTGAGGTTAAATAGACTAGTGAAGATGACCATAGGAGCTTGACAAATGAAAAAGACAACAATAACACTTATCAACATCAGTGTGATCTGAAACTCTTCTTTCTGGATGCTGTTGTCACTGTCATTAAGAGTATTACGGCGCAGGAAACTGCTTGACCTCCTCACTTCACAAATGAGATAGACATTGAGCACAACCAGAAGAATGAAAGGGAGGACAGTGAAGAGAAGGCCATCTATGATACTCGTATAGATGACCATATAAGTAGCATTGTCAAACAGTTCAGTATTCTTAACATGTACAAATGTTATGTTGGTTAATGGATCAACTTCAGTCATAATCTGGAATTCAAAGAAACTTGGAATTTTGATGATGATTGAAATAGCAAAAATGAGGCAAATGAAGAGGATAGCCCTCTTTACTGTACACATCAACCTTGCAAAAAAAGGTTTACATATCGCAATGTAACGTTCAACTGCCAGCATTACTGTCACCCAAACTGATGAAAAAAGGAACATGTTCATCACAATGGAAGCAATATGTAAATAAGCTCTGATATAGCTACTTGAATTGTTTATGAATGCTTTATGGCCAATAAGTATAGTTGAAAGAATCACTAAGAATAAAAGGTCTGCAACTGCTAATGCAGTTAGATATGTATTTGTGGAAGTGACCATTGACTTTCTACTGAGCACAATGAGGGTGAGAATAATACCACATATACCAAAGACCACAATTACAGGCAGAATGTGGTCTTCAATAATCGACTGAACTTTTGAATGGGTTTCATCTAAATTTGAACCTTCAGATACTGGTAAAACTGAATGATTATAGTAATTGTCATAGTTTTCGTAATAGTCATAGGATTCAAGTTCTGCTGGTAGGTTCAGAAATTCTGAGCTATTGTATCCTGTTAAGTTGTACTCCATTGTGATAGTTGTGCCAGTATAGGTCAGTATTGCTGTTCACAGTCTCTTATGCTTCAAAATGGTTTATTGATGCTTTCATCATTCCTACAAGTGTCAGTCTATTGGGCTTAAATTGTACTCAAGATGTTTATTATTCAGATCTGTAATACTTTAACTTGGTTCTCTATGGTTGTTATGGTTGTTTTCATTCTCTCAGTACTTTTTCTCATATTGCTTCTGATGCTCTTATCCCCTGGGTCTCCTATTCATGAACTGCCTGTAAAGTTAAATTTGCTTATATTTATTCAATATTACAGTTAATCAATTTTATATTTTCCTCTTTTTCAGTGTGTTAATTAAATGTTTTTTATATTCAGTTCCTTGAACCTTTCTCACATGTTTCTCACTAAGCTATAATGTGTGTCCATGGTAAGATTTTAATAAAGGTCTGCAAACTCATCAATCTGAATTGATGTCACGATGTTGTATTAATCAGTGCTAATCTCATTGGAATACTGTTTTCAGTCTTTGTTTTCATATCTGCATTCCCCATCATTTATCATGTACAATTTGAAGTAGTTTATTATATTCTTGCACTTCTCTAAAATTTAGATTTTGCAGACCTTTGTTGTTTCTTTGATTCTCTAGAAAGTGCACTCCTAAATTGTATTTAACATCCCAAAACACAACTGTTGCATTTTACTTGGGGGTATATAATATATAATGGAGCTGAATTGTTGTTCCGTAATGTGTTAATGGGCCCCAAGCCGGATACTAATGATTTAGTCTATTTGTTCTGTCACTTGTCTTTATTGATATAGATGAACATACAGTGATATATAAACTGTACTGGAAAGTGTCTCCTCTGGGCAATGTACATTTATTTTGATAGAAGGAATATCACATAATATACCTATTTTTCATTCTTTTGTGATACTTTGTCATGAACTGCGCCTTCAGTAACGTCTCCAGAGATACTTATTAGTATGATGTATTTTGACTCTCTTTAATGGAACAGTTAATTCACAGCTGTATGTCACATAGTTGCTGCAGCACTATAAATATGGTCACCCCCAGGATCTCAGTTGGGAGTAAGTGGTAGTTTAACTTGACTTGATCCAATGATGCTCACGAGTTGCTCTGCGAGACATCAATCTGGAAATACAAAATGTGATTGCTGTAGCTGTTTATCGAATTGTTGGTTTATCATTGTGTAATGCGCATTATACTTGGTGACAGATTTCACGATATGCATCTTAATAAAGATGATTTAAGATGATTTAATTAAGCTAAATTAGATCACTTCTTGAATTGCTTACTGAAACTGAAAAGACACTGAGTGAAAGTGGAAATGTTGTAAATGTTAGTGTAGTCAGTCCTCGGGCCCCAAAAAGGTGGTTGTTTACCTGGAGGCCTAAAAGTAAATTTATGATAAAGTGTATATATTTTTATATTAAAATGGCCAGATATTGTCATTTTAAAATGATCAGGACATAATTATACTTCATAATCAAACAAAAAATGGTGTCAATGACTTTTCTTTTTATTTAAAGCTATAAATTATTTTGATCCCCCACATTAGGGAATATGAAAGTAGGGGATTAACACACTTTATTATTTCCAAAACTGAATGACAGGATTTTTTCATTCATGCACGTTGGAAAGTTAAATGAATAAAATTAATTTTAAGAAAGTAAAATCATGGTTACTGACTTGGTTTTTTTTTATTGTTTTTCTCAATTCTCAGGGGATACTATTGTAGAATGTCTTGGAATGAGGTTTCTCTATAATATCATCTTACATGGATTCTCATGAACTAAGATCTTGGTTGGAAAGTGATCCATTTTGGCCATTCTAAGGCATGGTACTTGATTTTCTCAACTGGGGTAACAAAGATGACCTTTAAGGCAAGAAGTCTATTCATATTTTGTTTATATTCCAATTTAAACTATTCTATATCTAATTCTTGGGTATTTTTGGTATTTTGTTGCATCATGTCATTAAAACCACATCGGACAACACACTTTCTTCTATACTGTGATGATGCATACAGTTACCTTTATTTTCCATTTCAAAATTACTGTCTCTCGAGACTCTATATAATTGGAGCCTTGAAGCCTAGGGATAGCTACACTCATTTAGAACATTTTCAATTACATCAAGTGTAATAAGAGTTTTATCAGCAATTTGTATGTAAAATGGTTGATATGAATATATAGGCTATGAATATATTATTAGAATGCAATAAGCTTTATATTTGTTGTTATATACAATTTTCTTTGGAATTATATGTTATTCAATGATTTGTTCACAGATCACACCAAATTGTGATATGATAGCAAAACAATAGTTTGATTGATTAAGAATTGTTACATTATTGGTCAATTTCACATCAGTTTTGCATGTTTCACCTATTATAATCGTCCACTTGTCTGTCCCATCTGCCTGTCAACACATGGGTAAGCTAATTCAAAATCCTCAACTTTTAAAATGTGAGTATTATCCATGTAGCATCTTCAACTGTCCCATAAGTTGCATACCGAAAGCTTGCCTTCTTTTACATTTTTTATTGTGGAAAATCAAGTTTTCAGCTCCACACTCCATGTCCATCATTTTGCTTAAAATTGCCCAGGTGCATTAATAATGTGATCAATAATGTCTGCAAGTTTCTCAAAATATATTACAAAGATTTAAAATGGCTACCATTTTATTGGTGAAAATCAGGTTTTCACATATTTTGGTCATAACTCCATAGCTATCCCATCAATTTGCTTCAAAATTGTAATTGTACAGATACCTTAATTTATAGGTTATCAATAATGTCTACAAGTTCATCAAGATTTTATATTGTCGAAATATCACTTCCTAGCAAAATTCTGTAATGGCCAATCAAGCCAATCAGTATTTCACAGTCTTATCAATTTCTTTATTTTCATTTTGCTATTCATAAATGCACGATTTAACCTATTAGGAAGAAATGGTTATTTGTTTTATTGTGAAAATATCCCTTTCCACAAATAGAAAGAGTTAAAGGATATCACAACTGGCTCAGACAGGAAATTGGTCACTTTAGATTTACCTAATCAATCTAATCAACAGCAAACTGAAAATGGACCTAAAGAGGAAACATGCTAATTGGGGTAAAAAAAGAATGCTACTATGGCATCCTCAAGGAATAACTTTCCTAACTTTGTAATAATTTAATTGACCATCACGTAGACACTTTTATGAAATATAATTTTTCAGGACTTAAATAAAAGTCATCAGATTAGGTTCAGATTTTATGTGCTCATATTTTATAGGCTTGGAGGCATATGACTCTGTTCCAGATAGAATTTTCAAGATGGCTGCTGAATTTTAAATATTTTTTAATGATAACGCAAATACTGGTACCATTATTTTGTCAAGATTTTGTCATGTTATGTTCAAAATGATGAGTGATTTGATAAAGTATGTTTTGTTCGGTGGGATTTGCTAATCCAATGGTTTTTTTATAGTTGCAGATATACAGGGCGTTCATAAAGTCCTTGCAAAAATACTCTAATTTCTTTGTTTCTCAATCAATCTGGCTGAAATTGTCACTCAGTATACCTACACTGTCTATATACTTGAATTATAATGAATAGTTCCTTGAGGACCTTGACATCATAGTTGAAATTTATTTGATTCATGGCATCACTCATGGTATCATAGTGACCTTTATTGGTTGATGGCATCAGATTTAATGAAAGGCAGTGTCAATTTCATTTTTGTGAAAATGGTTGCAAAATCAGCAAAAGATGATGATTTGCTATTTCAAATATTCAGTAGCATTGGTATGTATGTTTTTTGGAAAATTCAAGAAAACAAACACTTGAAGATGGGAAGGAGGCTATGGTCAAAAGAATCATTTACAAAATGGACTAATACATTTACTGATGATAGGACAAATGGTAAGGACAATGTTAATCAGGCCATCCAAGAATGAAATCCAGTGAAGATCAGATGATGTTGATGAAAGTCATCCATACAAAGATCAATCGCAATAAATTTTCCAAATGGGTTCCCATATGTTTGAGGAATGGTAAGTAAGACAGCAGAGGTGTATAGACCATGCTGGACTGGACACTATTTTGAACACCTGTACTCTTGAGATACTGTTATTAAAGTAGATAGGACAAGTTAAAAACATTTTGAACATTCAAACAAAACAGATCCTTTTGCCTGCTCCGCCTACCTCTGACTCTATAGCAGCCATAACAGCTAATAGGATCTCAATGTATGAATAGTGTAGGTATACTGAGTGAATATTTCAACCAGATTGACTGAGATACAAAACTTTTAGAGGACTTTTGCAAGAACTTTATGAATGCCCTGTATAATATATTTATTTTTCCCAGTCTTAAATTGTTCACTCACTGCCAAATATTGGTCTAAAAACTAGTGGTCATATTTGACAATTTAATCATAAAAACTGATTCTTTTTTCCATTGTTAAATTAGAAGCTACAATAGTGTTCTAACAAAAATTGAACTTTATCTTAGATACAGAGTTTACCTTTACAAAGAGCCAATTATGTTTGGCACCTGTTGTATCTGTTGTGCATATTCATATTATCATAATCCTTAATTATATATTATTCTGCGGAAGCTCTGAATAATATACAATTTGTTTTATCACACTGTCCTTACTAAAAATGTATCTAATAATTGATTATTGATTTAATTGCATCTTTTAATACAGCATAATTACTATGTTTTGTGAATCTGACTTTTAATTGTGATTTATTGCTGACTGTTACTTAACAGAGTATTTTTCAATTTAAAAAGTACACTCTCTGATTATTTACTGTTAGGTAATGTTCAACATTTGCAGGATTAATAGGTTCACATTGTCACATCAACCAGTCGAGACTTGATAAATGAAACAATTCAAGGAAACAATGTAGCACAATCATCATGTCTGAACAGTTACCTTTATCTTTGAAAATAGAGAAAACAGGTAACAAAATCCTTCTGGAGTGAAAGTTTTAACTCTCGGACCTTTTATTCTGAATAACCTTTGTCAATGTTCAGTGGAATGGAGTAATTTGAGAAAGTGAGACAAATGAGTATTAAATGTCACATCATTTGAGAATGAATGCCTAATCTTGTATGAATAGTATTAAATGTCACATTATTTGAGAATGAATGCCTAATCTTGTATGAATAGTATTAAATGTCACATTATTTGAGAATGAATGCTTAATCTTGTATGAATAGTATTAAATGTCACATCATTTGAGAATGAATGCCTAATCTTGTATGAATAGTATTAAATGTCACATCATTTGAGAATGAATGCTTAATCTTGTATGAATAGTATTAAATGTCGCATCATTTGAGAATGAATGCCTAATCTTGTATGAATAGTATTAAATGTCACATCATTTGAGAATGAATGCCTAATCTTGTATGAATAGTATTAAATGTCACATCATTTGAGAATGAATGCTTAATCTTGTATGAATAGTATTAAATGTCACATCATTTGAGAATGAATGCTTAATCTTGTATGAATAGTATTAAATGTCACATCATTTGAGAATGAATGCCTAATCTTGTATGAATAGTATTAAATGTCACATCATTTGAGAATGAATGCCTAATCGTGTATGAATAGTATTAAATGTCACATCATTTGAGAATGAATGCCTAATCTTGTATGAATAGTATTAAATGTCACATCATTTGAGAATGAATGCCTAATCTTGTATGAATAGTATTAAATGTCACATCATTTGAGAATGAATGCCTAATCTTGTATGAATAGTATTAAATGAAATGTCACATCATTGAGAATGAATGCCTAATCTTGTATGAATAGTATTAAATGTCACATCATTTGAGAATGAATGCCTAATCTTGTATGAATAGTATTAAATGTCACATCATTTGAGAATGAATGCCTAATCTTGTATGAATAGTATTAAATGTCACATTATTTGAGAATGAATGCTTAATCTTGTATGAATAGTATTAAATGTCACATCATTTGAGAATGAATGCTTAATCTTGTATGAATAGTATTAAATGTCACATCATTTGAGAATGAATGCTTAATCTTGTATGAATAGTATTAAATGTCACATCATTTGAGAATGAATGCCTAATCTTGTATGAATAGTATTAAATGTCACATCATTTGAGAATGAATGCTTAATCTTGTATGAATAGTATTAAATGTCACATTATTTGAGAATGAATGCTTAATCTTGTATGAATAGTATTAAATGTCACATCATTTGAGAATGAATGCCTAATCTTGTATGAATAGTATTAAATGTCACATCATTTGAGAATGAATGCCTAATCGTGTATGAATAGTATTAAATGTCACATCATTTGAGAATGAATGCCTAATCTTGTATGAATAGTATTAAATGTCACATCATTTGAGAATGAATGCCTAATCTTGTATGAATAGTATTAAATGTCACATCATTGAGAATGAATGCCTAATCTTGTATGAATAGTATTAAATGTCACATCATTTGAGAATGAATGCCTAATCTTGTATGAATAGTATTAAATGTCACATCATTTGAGAATGAATGCCTAATCTTGTATGAATAGTATTAAATGTCACATCATTTGAGAATGAATGCCTAATCTTGTATGAATAGTATTAAATGTCACATCATTTGAGAATGAATGCTTAATCTTGTATGAATAGTATTAAATGTCACATCATTTGAGAATGAATGCCTAATCTTGTATGAATAGTATACTCAAGTATCTATTTTTGATGCTATGAGTATTGGTTTATCAATTTGTATTTATTCTTCAACATATTGTAATGGCTTCTGTTTGAATGGAATGTCCCTTGGTGTTAGTGTCCTGAATTGTGATAATGGAACTTGAATGATGGAGAATGAGGGGCATTAGACATTTTTCTTTTCAAGTAATCTTGTATGAATAGTATTAAATGTCACATCATTTGAGAATGAATGCCTAATCTTGTATGAATAGTATTAAATGTCACATCATTTGAGAATGAATGCCTAATCTTGTATGAATAGTATTAAATGTCACATCATTTGAGAATGAATGCTTAATCTTGTATGAATAGTATTAAATGTCACATCATTTGAGAATGAATGCCTAATCTTGTATGAATAGTATTAAATGTCACATTATTTGAGAATGAATGCCTAATCTTGTATGAATAGTATTAAATGTCACATCATTTGAGAATGAATGCCTAATCTTGTATGAATAGTATTAAATGTCACATCATTTGAGAATGAATGCTTAATCTTGTATGAATAGTATTAAATGTCGCATCATTTGAGAATGAATGCCTAATCTTGTATGAATAGTATACTCAAGTATCTATTTTTGATGCTATGAGTATTGGTTTATCAATTTGTATTTATTCTTCAACATATTGTAATGGCTTCTGTTTGAATGAAATGTCCCTTGGTGTTAGTGTCCTGAATTGTGATAATGGAACTTGAATGATGGAGAATGAGGGGCATTAGACATTTTTCTTTTCAAGTTGGATTATTGTTTGGGATAGTTGGGATTTTTACTGATGACTGGTGTATACTTTAACATTTTCTTTTCCTCGCGATTAAAAATGACCTTGCAAAAAAGTAAATTCTATTCAAAACAAAATTGCTAAAACTGAATCAGCTAGCATTAATTGATATACTGCATCTATGAACCACCTATCACATTTGTGTGAAATTAGCCATTGCTGTGTCAAATAAGTAGCCTCTGTGGATGATAAAAATGTTATTTATTTGGAGGCGTTTGAAAACATTCACATAGTGGATCAAAATGAGGGGTTTTCACACTAATGATCTGATATCTGAATCTGACAATTTGCTTATCACATTGTTTTTACTTTTATTATTTAGATACAGATTAGAGAAGGGGCATATGAAAATTAATACCATGTGTAGTCAAGGCCATAAAATGGACAAAATGCAATAAGGGGATTGTACAATTTGTTGAATTTTTCTCACAGAAATCATATAATCTAACCTCTATGCATTTTGTCAGTTTGCAGTCATTGTATTTAAGAAATCCTTTGAGATAATTAATGGGCCAACCTTTTTCTGTATACTGTACGAGTGATTTCCTTAAATTACATGACTGTATAAGAGAGAACACAAACCCCAAATCTTTGAAATATCTGGATATCAAGCAAATATGATAGGTAGATCAACACTGACAGGAATGTGTTTGTGATGTATGTATTTATCAGAATAATTGAGCAAACGTGTATATCACAACATAAAAAAATGAGTAAGTAAGAATATATATGCGCAAGTGCCAACAGGAAAATACCAAAATTGGTTATAGCAGCAAGAAGCTGTTCTCAAAGGTCCATGTGCAGTATGGCAAGTGATTTTAGACGGTCATATCTTTCACCATAAGTACTTTCTGGGTATAAATACAGTGGATTAGGACCCCACCTTGTCACTTTTTTAAAAATGTAAGGCTTATTTTCTAAAAAAAGGATCTTGTTTTTTTCAATTTAAATATATCAAAAGTTTCTTTTACACTATATTAATAACTTCTGAAAAGGGGATGTGTATTGAAATACCATTCAATACCATTCTACTTTTAAAGATGTTTTAGACCCCTTGTTGAATAATCTTTTCATGCAATAAAAATCAGAAAAAGAAGATCCTCTTTTGAGCAAATAAGTTCAACCTTTTGAAAAAATTGTTGACGTGGGGTCCCTATTTATAATTTTTCGGATTGTTCGATTGATATTTTTATCATCATGGGGACTTCAATTGAAAAAAACATGTTGTTTTAATAAAAACCACTGTATTTATACCCAGAAAGTACTCATGGTGAAAAAATGACCATCTAAAATCACTTGCACATTGACCTTTCTTACAGAAATGCAACTTTTAATTTCAGGAAACGTTACTAACAATGGTATAAGAATGGGCTCCAGGATCCTTTTGTTTATTTATGATAAATCCAAAGTTTATAAAGATTTTTTTGACATGTTTAAATTTTGAAATGTTAAAAAAAGAGATTTTGCAACTCACTTGAAGCAGGTTTAATATTCGTGTATAATGTGTAATTTGCAAAATGTTTGATTATATCATCATTTATTGTGCAGCTCTAAACGTCCATAAGTGTGATATTCTTATAAATCATCTTCTATATATAAGAATATCACACTTGTGGACGTGAAGAGCTGCACAATAAATGATGACGTAATCAAACGCTTCTTAAGTTATATGTTTTATGGGAATAATTAACATGCTATAAGTGAGTTGCAAAAATTACCTTTTACTTACTATCACAAACAAATATAATACAATTAAGCAATACAAATCTATTTTATTTGTTTGTTATATTTGTCAGCATTTCAGGACTATATCAACAAAATTAGTTTCTACTCACCTCATTAAAGCCTCCCTAAATTGAATTACCTTTGAATTGAAACAATAACTTGGCTATTAAAGTAATCTAAGTCAATTTGCTCCTACATTACTGCAGCATTGATTTTTTCTAATTGCTACTATCAGCTCAGTCTTCCTTGATAACACTGAATTGCGACTATGTGCACGTCGCTTTTATATGAACTACCATTTCTAACACTTTCCCTATTGCATGATTGCTTGAGGAAATTACATTGCTTTATGAGCCCCACATGAATATATTAATTGTTGTTGTTACTCTTCATGGTGAAACATGAGTATTATTAATGCTTATGTATATTTATGGACTGTGGTAACATTTGAAATATTAGAAGAAAGATTAGGAGAAAAAATAAAAATATGCAGTAAACTATAATTCAAATTGCAAAAAGCAATCAATTGATGGAACTTACTCTCAACGTCATGTTATGATACACCAGGAAAAAACAACATCAACAGCCATGCAGAATCTCAGAATCAAATTATGCCAAAGCCATTAGTCTAATAATATGTTGGTCTACAGAGAGATCTACCAAATGATTTTAACAAAACAGATTTAGAAATATAGAGAACAATACTGTAGCCTTTCATGGAGAAATCCCTTGAAAATCATTAGTATTATGTACATTTCTGTTTATCTGATGAAGGAATATTCTTGATATTCGCTCATCTTTCAGACAAAAAAGTTAATTATCATTAACATTGAATGATCCGCAGGTCACAATTTTCTGTTTCATTTGGGTACAATATTTGGGGGTTTGGGACACCCAGTATGATCTCATAAAATGATATCTACCATTTTCCCTCATACATTTCTACCTGCTTTTAAAGCAAATTTTTATGATCATTTTGACAGCTGACCCTAGAATTGCATTATGAATCTAAAATCTAAAAATATTTTGATATGGATATTTCTTTGTAATTATCTGCTAAAATGTGATTATTTGTTCATTTCATTCATAAAAATTGCAAAAACCTGGGAACATGCAAAGTCAACAAGTGAGTTCCAGATATATTTTCAACACTTAATGAGGGTTGTTCAAAGAGGATACTATATCCCAACAATTATTATGAATGGAAACATGTCCATTTGTCATAAAGATGACCAATCTCTTAAAAAATAAAAATATGAAGGACTTGAACTAATTAGGCAGAGGATTCAGATAACTTTATTCATTATGCTATCAATGGCATGATTTGCAATACAATTCAAATAGGTCCACCTGAAAATAAATTAATTAGTTATCAGGATATCACAAGGAGTAAAATAGATGAAAAAACCTTCAGTAACATTCGTATCTTTTATTCATCTTATGTGTGATGTTCAGATAGTTGCAAATTGCTTCTTTTGTGTATATTAGATACCTGTTGTGGTTTGGATGATTGGTATTATCTGTATAACAAACGCACTTACAGTTACTGCTTCTGACAATACCATAACTAAAATCTAAAGACAATTACTGATGTTTTTGAATAACATATAAGTGTGCAAAATGAAGGAATTTAAAGTATGGTATAGGATTGAACAAATTAGGCAAATTAGGACTAGGGAATGATATTGATATAAAACTTGAGACAAAATATTCTCTCTTTTGGTAATTATTATTCCATTTGAAAATTATTCCATTCCAAAATTGCTTCTTAGTGTAACAGTTTAGCATACAGTACATGTAATAGCCTCCTGGGAACACACTTTGAAAATGTTAAGAATTGTGAATATGATGAAATAATCAGGAAAGGTCAAATCCAGACATCTGATGAATGGACTTTAATGGCCCTGTGATTATAAACTACCCATTGTGATTAAATCACAAATTGCACACTATCTGTTACACCTTAAGTTTGTCAGTAACATTTGTATCTCCATGTGCTTTTTTTAAATGGGTATAACTCTTTTGCTTTTCTTACCCCCCTATCACACCAAACTCGTTCTTACCCGTTCTTGCCAATCCTACGAAAACGTCGTAAAACGGGCTCAAACTGGCTGTGGTCGGGAAATATGTCTGAAATAATTAGCTTCTTCGTTCTTAAACAGTCTTCAATACGTCCATCTCGTTCGCAGTTCGTTCAGGTCGCACCACGTCGGTGTGCAACGCCGTAGAACGCGTCCCTTAGTCTAGAAGGTCATCATGACCTGATAACAGAACGGTATGGTCGCAATCGAATTTTGAATCGATTCAAAATTCTAAAATCACATTCCCGTCTGAGAACGTTCATAAAGTTCGTAAATAGACCTTAGAAAGTTGCAGCTACGTTCATTCCGTTCGCACACAGTTTAGAACCAGTTTTGAAGAACGCAGTGGCAACTTGTTTGGTGTGATAGCTATATTTCTGCTAACTCGTTCATAAGCAGTGTTAAATACGTTCTTAATCAGTTTAAACCCGTTTGCAATGAGTTCTACATCGTTCTCAACACGTCCTCAGACAGTTCCACTCGTTGTTAAAACGTCCCTAGTAGGATTGAAGTACGACGGTTCCGTTCGTAGTACGTCCAGCTCGTCGTTAGTGCGTTGTCACTCGTTCTAATTGTAGAACGTGACGACCACGAAAACATTTTGAGCATTGTCTAAGTTCTAGAGGACCTACCCGTTCGAGTACGTTCGATGACGTTTGTAAATAGATCCCAAACGGTTCTTAGTACGTCCAGTCCGTTCGTACACAGTTGAAGCCCGTTTTCGAGAACGTAGTGAGAACTAGTTTGGTGTGATAGTAGGGTTAGTGATGAATAAATGTATTTTGTTTTTCTTTATGTTCTTGAGTTGTATACATATTTCATCTGCTTATTTTATTTGGAGGTTCCAACCAAACTACATATTAAGTCATGATATTTTCTTTTGAGGGTCTGAGGCCATTGTTCTATGATTCTTTTAATTAGAAAAGATCTCCTATCTTCTCTTTATTAAGGTCTGAAAGTGACACATTTGGAAATAACAGGATATAGCTTCATCATTCAATTTAGTGTAAACCCTGTGCCGTAACATATTTCTGGTTGTACCAGTGCACTCTTAAAGGGCTCCGATAAGCTTCCTGTATAAAAACAATATGACAATATTCAGGGATCGGGCCTTTTATACTAAACAGTGAGCAACACAAGAAACTTGCTAATCAATATGCTTTTAAAACTAATCTGAATTAAATTGTAATTTATAACTTTAAAATTTTTTGCAATGTACTATAGAGTTTGTACTGCAAGTATTTTCCACTCTTGTCTACATTTGTATTTTCAGCTTCTAAACATTGTGACCCTCAAATCATTTTCCTTAAAGTCCCCGTCCAAAGTTTGAACTTTTTTTTTTTCATTCATTTACTATTTGGCAGGACTTAAAAAGTGATTTGTGAGATTTTTGAACAAAAAAAAAATTTCAAAAAAAAGTTGTGAGCATTTCATTTCTCAAATATTCAAATTTCCCGCCATTTTTCAAAAAATTTCTTATTCATCAAATATTTCTTAATGCATATCAAAAAAGATTATATTTTTAACACCAATGCAAAGATTGAACAAAAGACACGCTATTTCAATAATAAAATGTCATATTTAATGGGCTACACCAATGTTTTAGCTTATCAAAAATATTTTGAAACATTAGTGATGTCACTAAGGTAACAAAAACCTTTTGAAAAAAATTGAATTTTTTTTTTCGATGTTAAACTTTTCTAAATATGCTAGACTTTCATAAAAACCAATGTTGATTGTCTAACCAGGTTAAAAGGAAGAATAAATTATGTTTTAGATATCATTCTACCATTGGTTTCTATGAGAACTAAAATTTTGAAATGCATTTTTCTCAGAACCATTTTGATGCACTGATAAGTTCATTTCTCGCTTGTTTATCAACCGATTTTCTTAATTTTTTCGGCATAAAACATGGGAGGATGGATGCTATGCATTGATATGAATTGTGGCTAATTAGAAGATATGAGTGACCTCTAAGAGTTGGTTTTAAATAAATTCACAAATTTTGGAACAAAAAGTCTATCAAAAACCACTTTTTGAAATTAAAAAAAAAAATTTCATATATCACACTTTGATAACATTGGGTAAGACTACAATATTAGCCAAAGTGGTTTAAACTTTACATGGGGCCTTTAAGGGTCGGCATGTGGTTGAATAGTATCTCTTCATATTATCTAGACTCATTGCTGTGTAATAAGACAACTAGTATTCTGAATTATGGTATAAAAGGCACCTTTGGCAATGCTACTGATATTGGGCATTGATTACTGTTCCATATAACATGTGAATGATGTGAATTTAATTCTGCTCATGAAGAAAGTATCAATATGGCCACCCAATTGAAAATGGCCACAAAAAAATGTAATCTTTGATAACTCAAATAGTAGTTGATAGATTTGGTCCAAATTTTATATGCTGATGCCTAGTATAAGGAGCTTACCTCAAGAAGAAACTTTCCAAATGGCCTCTGAATTTTACCATTTTTCGTATAAAAACTAATCGTTGATCATTTAAATACCAGTGGATGGATTTGATTCAAATTTTATATGATAATGCTTAGGGACAAAGTTGAGCTCTGCTTTTAATACTTTTTTTAAGATGATAGCTGAATTTTAAAATAGCTGCCATTTTTTATATGCTGATGTCTAGAGATTAAGGAATTCTGTTAAAGAAGTTTTTAAGATGGTTGCTATTTATAAAAATGGCCACCATTTGTCATTGAAAATATAATACCAATTGACAAAATTGGTTCAAATTTGATATACTGATGTCTCTGGGCAAAGGAGCTCTGCTCAAGAAAAATTGTCAAGATGGCCTCTGTTTTTTATATCTAGGATACAAGCTCTGTTCAAGAAGAAATTCTCAACTTGAAGATGGCTGCTATTTATTAAAATCCATTGTTTTGTTTGGTGGGATTACCTTCTCTGTGGAGTTGCTGTTTTCTTGGACAAAGTTGAAAATGATAAACACTAGGGAACCCCTAATTTTTTTTCCATGAATACAAAAATAATTGTGAAACATATGAATTAAAATGTAACTAGACATAAGCATTCCCTACAAATTGCTCACTATATGTTCACGTTAAATTTTTACCGTTTTTGAGATAATTGATGTCAAAAAACGGTAATAATTGGTCATTTTTCAACTTGCTTCAAATTGACCAATTATTTTTTAAACATGATCTACAAGTTCTCTTCTTACTTTTGACCTTTGACCTTTAGTTGACCTTCAGTGACCTTCGAAAGGTCAAAAAAGTTGATATTTTAATTTTAAATTGATTTTCAGGATTCAAGGTTCTGGTATATTTTATCACAAAAGACCTACTGAGGTATAAAAAAGTAAAATTTGCAAGGTCAAAGGTCAAGGTCATCAAACTAAATCACAAACTGTGTTTTCTAAGTTTCTCAGAATTGATGACTACAAATCAATATATTTTCATGAAAGTCAGGATATATATTCCTCTATAGGTTCTACACATATTAACAATTGACTATTTATTAAAATTGTGTACCAGTTTTGAGATATTAGAACTCAAAAACTGAAAAAAGGCCAAATTTCGAAACTTTTCAAGACTAAATTTCAACTTGCTTCAAATTGACCAATTTCTTTTTAAAACATCATTTACAAGTTCCCTGGAGTTCATATATGCCTTTGTTTTTGAGAATTGACCTTTGGCTGACCTAAAAAAGGTAAAAAGCCTACGGGGTCTCCGTAAGATTGCTTGCAATCTTTGACATCAAGTTATAATCAAATTGTAAAGAAAAAACACTGGATCCCACATCAAAGAATGATTTGTTCATTATGAATTGTAACTTAATGACATTTTGCGATTGCTTTTCCTAATTCATTCCAAAAGACAACCTGCGCACATTTTGTCGTGTTGCTCCAATGTTCTGTAATAAAGCAATACCTTAATCATTAAGCTAGATCTGTTTAATGTTTAAAATAAAATGTTTAATATAATATTTTTTTGCCTATGCCTGGTGCACTCTTAGATGTTTTCCTTTTCTTGCTGTATTCTGTAACCAGTTTTGATATTTTCTTGCTGGCATTAATGGGTTACATATTGCTTTGGAGGGGTGAGACTTTATTTTATGGTCAAATAGCTCCTGTAAGTTTGCACAGTAAAACATATTTCTGTCAGATTAGATAACATGCTAGATACTTAACTTATTTTCAATAGATGCTGCATTGATTTCATCTATTTTGATTCATAAAATAATTGTGTATGGGAAATGCTTAACAGTTTGTTATTCACCATGGCCTTCAAAGTCTGTACCTTTTTAATGGATGATGGTATTTATGGCTTCATCATTCTCAAATTTCAGTAACAGAATCTACTAGTTGGTAAAACGCTCATTAAGATACAATTAATCTTTTTGAAACAATTGGAAAGCTAATACAAATATGAGGAGTTAAACATTGTAGGCTTTGTATAATGTTCCTCATTTGTATTATTGCCTACTTGCTTTTACTTTCTTTACTAACCTGTAATGCTGTTGTTTTGCAGAAAGTTTTGTTTTTAGCTCACATGGGACAAACGAGCTACGCTAAAGAAGAGATTTTCAAAATGGCTGCTAAATATCAAAATGGTGGCCATTTATCGTAAAAAACACAATCTTTGATAGCTCAAATACCAGTGAACAGATTTGGTTCAAATTTTATAGGCTGATGCCTAGAGACACATCTGTTTGACAAAGAATTTTCAAGATGGAGGATGAATTTTAAAGTTGCCGCCATTTTCGTAAAACGTGTAATTTTTGATAACTCAAATAGCAGTGAACAGATTTGGTTCAAAGGATAGGTATCGATATGGTGAACTGAATTCAACAATGTTTTTCTCTTAAACCAATATATTGAAAACATTCTGTAAAAAAACATGGTCCTTTATGTTATGTTGACTGATTGGCAACAATTTAATGCAAAAATTATTTCTATATATTCTATATAACAGTTTTTGTTAACATTTTTTGTTTTTTAGTTCAATTGTTTTTTGTTCCTTTCTACCAATTCTTGAGAATGAAATAAAATGTCTTTCCGAACCTTGTTGGAACAAAATAGCATATACAACATTTTCTTAGACCTCTCAATATTACAGTTATACAAAGGAAATTTTGGTTGATTTTACAAAATGTATGCAAAAACTTTCCAAACTTTCCTCATTGTGTTTATGTCTTTTTGTTCCAATGAGGTTCGGATAGATGTTTCATTTCATTCCGAACATATATTACCAAGAACAAAAGAAGTGTCTGATGTGTTTTCTAAATCAATAGAGAGAAAAGGATAAATACACTGATGTATATGTTTCAAATTATAATGTTACCATCCAAAAGATGACCATTAAATTGACGAGGTGTAAAATTTTCAGAATGTTTTGATGACTGGTTTAAGAGAAGCGCGTGTTCAAAAAGTTCACCATATCGATACCACTCCTTTTAGATGCTAATCGACTCCTGGTTCAAAACCTGGCCTTTTTTCAAAATGGTCGCCATTTTTCTCTAGCAAAATTCACTTTTGGCCCATTTCCTTGCTTTACAAATAATTTCAAGTGTCCTGCATTGTAAAAAACCATGTCATTGTAAAGAGTAGTTCTATGAAATAATTTTGCTTCAAAAAATCGGCAAAAACTATATCCATTTTAGCCATCATTCACTTTTGAGCAACACCATGTGAGCCCAGTACCCACAGTACTATTTATTTCAGCCTGCACCTGCTTACATGGAGTGTGCTCTAATGGGCCTAAGGGGGATGGGCTGTGCAAGCCTAATAGCTGTAAGAATGGGTATAGTGGCTTGAATTGTGACCTCCAGTTGACACTATGTGAAGATGGGACCCGAGCAAAGTTGCATTGTCATGTGAATGCAGAGTGTATTGTAAATTTTAAGAATGAATCACTCATAGATACTAGGTAAGTATTGCTTCTTTAGTATTAATGTCATTGCAAAGTTGCATTGTCATGTGAATGCAGAGTGTATTGTAAATTTTAAGAATGAATCACTCATAGATACTAGGTAAGTATTGCTTCCTCAGTATTAATGTCTTTGCAAAGTTGCATTGCCATGTGAATGCAGAGTGTATTGTAAATTTTAAGAATGAATCACTCATAGATACTAGGTAAGTATTGCTTCTTTAGTATTAATGTCATTGCAAAGTTGCATTGTCATGTGAATGCAGAGTGTATTGTAAATTTTAAGAATGAATCACTCATAGATACTAGGTAAGTATTGCTTCCTCAGTATTAATGTCATTGCAAAGTTGCATTATCATGTGAATGCAGAGTGTATTGTAAGTTTCAAGAATGAATCACTCATAGATACTAGGTAAGTATTGCTTACTCAGTATCAATGTCATTGCAAAGTTGGATTGTCATGTGAATGCAGAGTGTATTGTAAATTTCAAGAATGAATCACTCATTGATATTAGGTAAGTATTGCTTCCTCAGTATTAATGTCTTTGCAAAGTTGCATTGCCATGTGAATGCAGAGTGTATTGTAAATTTCAAGAATGAATCACTCATAGATACTAGTTAAGTATTGCTTCCTCAGTATTAATGTCATTGCAAAGTTGCATTGCCATGTGAATGCAGAGTGTATTGTAAATTTCAAGAATGAATCACTCATAGATACTAGGTATGTATTGCTGCCACAGTATTATTGTATGTGTATATGAATATGTTGGTACTATTTAGAGATTATCCTATTTGAGGTTCAGGATATGGGGTTATCCCAAGGCCAATATAATATATCTGCCCGAGGGCCATTGGTCCTGAAGAAAGATGTATTTTATTGGCAAAGGGATAATTAAATAAATTGGATAAACCCCATATCCAAAACCTCTCAGTACATAACCCTTATATATCCAGATAGAGATTATAGGAATATCCTATATCCTATAATATCCTAAAATATCAATTATATCCAATCATGGATATAAATATCTTCACTCATTCGCTGCGCTCACTCGTAAAGATATCAATATCCACTCATGGATATAAATGATATTTTTCAAAACCATAGGATTGTCCGTTTATCCCATGGGAAATCTTAAAAAAAAAAGATTTCGAAAAACATTTTTGAAAAAAAAATTGAAGGAAAATTTTTTTGAAAATTTTATGATTTTAAGGAAAAAGTCTAAAAAATTTTTTTAAGAAAATCTTGAAAAAAAAATTATTGAAAAAATCGAAACTTCGAATATCACTTTTGAAACCATCGAATATCACTTTTTGAGAAGTGATATTCGATGGTTTGAGAAGTGATATTAGATGGTTTGGGGATTTTTTGCTAAAATATGATATCTTGATCCACATATCAAATATATCTTCACCTGATATTCAATATATATCCTTGTAACCATTGGATAAATGCATTAATCCTACACTTAGTGTACTAAATGTATAATAACATCAAAAAACAAATTTGATATTTATTGCCAAAATAAATAACCGGAGGATATCGCGGTGATATACTCCGGGCCCGGAAAACCCAATATGCGGAGGATATTGTGACGATATACTCCGCTTGTTGATTTCCTGCCAAATTGACTCTTTTGCAATGATATTATACATTTAGTACACTCCTTGTAAGTGTAGGATAATAAGAACATCCTATGATTTTTTTCAGAATATCATTTCAATCTACTCGGTGATATTGTTATATGCACTCGTTCACTTTGCTCTCTCGTGCAGATATCAATATCACCTCGTAGATAAAAATGATATTCCTCAAAATCATAGGATATCCTATAAATATCTTCCGAGGGATAAACCCATGGCATGGTACAGAGGTAATGGATACAGCTGTGTAGCTATCAACCCCTGTATTGAAATATAATATGATATATTTGAACTTCAGGTGTCAGTGTATGGCGGGGTACAGAGGTAATGGTTACAGCTGTGTAGCTATCAACCCCTGTATTGAAATATAATATGCTATATTTGAACTTCAGGTGTCAGTGTATGGCAGGGTACAGAGGTAATGGATACAGCTGTGTAGCTATCAACCCCTGTATTGAAATATAATATGCTATATTTGAACTTCAGGTGTCAGTGTATGGCAGGGTACAGAGGTAATGGTTACAGCTGTGTAGCTATCAACCCCTGTATTGAAATATAATATGCTATATTTGAACTTCAGGTGTCAGTGTATGGCAGGGTACAGAGGTAATGGATACAGCTGTGTAGCTATCAACCCCTGTATTGAAATATGATATACTATATTTGAACTTCAGGTGTCAGTGTATGGCGGGGTACAGAGGTAATGGATACAGCTGTGTAGCTATCAACCCCTGTATTGAAATATAATATGCTATATTTGAACTTCAGGTGTCAGTGTATGGCAGGGTACAGAGGTAATGGATACAGCTGTGTAGCTATCAACCCCTGTATTGAAATATGATGTGCTATATTTGAACTTCAGGTGTCAGTGTATGGCAGGGTACAGAGGTAATGAATACAGCTGTGTAGCTATCAACCCCTGTATTGAAATATAATATGCTATATTTGAACTTCAGGTGTCAGTGTATGGCAGGGTACAGAGGTAATGAATACAGCTGTGTAGCTATCAACCCCTGTTTTGAAATATGATGTGCTATATTTGAACTTCAGGTGTCAGTGTATGGCGGGGTACAGAGGTAATGGATACAGCTGTGTAGCTATCAACCCCTGTATTGAAATATAATATGATATATTTGAACTTCAGGTGTCAGTGTATGGCGGGGTACAGAGGTAATGGATACAGCTGTGTAGCTATCAACCCATGCTTAGATATATCATATGGGGGCTGCCATAAACAGGTAATTGATTATCCCACCGAACGAAGTTTGAGGGAGATATAGTAAAGTCATCCGTCTGTTTGTCTGGGCCATAACTCAAATACCAGTCGACAGATTTGATTCAAATTGTATGGGGGTATGGCTTATGGGGGTAGAACCTCTGCTCGAGAAGGAATTTTCGATATGGCCGCTTAATTCAAAATGTTGCCATAAAAAATCTAATCTTTGATAACTCAAATAGCACTAGTGGATTTATTTTTCAAATTTGCTACATGTTCTATGCTGATGCCAAGGGACACAGTAGCTCTGTTCAATAAAGATTTCCAAAATAGCAGCTGAATTTCAAAATTGCTGCCATTTTTCGTAAAAAGGAATGTAATATTTGATAACTCACATGCTAATTGACGGATATGGTTTACATTTTCTATGTTGATGCCTAGGGACAAACAAGCTCTGCTCAAGAAGGAATTTTCAAGATGGCCACTAATAATCAAAATATGTTTTGATCGGTGTGATTTGCTACTCCGTGGAATTGCTGTTTTTCTAGGTGATTTTATTTATGCTCAATCTTATGTACCCACATACCTTATATAACACGTACCTTTATCACGTTGAATCCAAATTAATTAATTTTTTCAGGTATAACAAATAATCAAATGATGTGCAAGACATTAGTATGCAGTAAATCCAGAGGAGTTTTATGAAAAAAATGAGTTGAAATGTATGAGTGAAAATGTACAATGTATGTGGCATACCATAGCTGCGCCAGGAAATTCACTTCCATTAGTATACACATAAATATGTCCTTGCTCAGTTTGAGAACCTGTGATAACCTGTGACATGCTAACATATTAACTGCAATTTTTGTTTTAATGTTAAGAACAAAATTAACGTTTTTAAAATGAAGCTTTTACATTCCATCACATGTTATTTACTAGGGACCATTAATTGGATCTTGAGGGGAGCTCACATTTTTCCAAAATTCGGTACTGTACCTGTAGTTCTTCTATAGATAAAATCCTAATGGTCCAACTTTTAGCAGAAGTTGTAGACTAGTCCAGAGAATTGGCACAGTGTTTATCAACAAGTCAGTAGCTCTAATAATTACTTGCCATATTGTGTCGCTCATTAATAACTAATTAGCGCATCAGCCGATATGTTATCTAATCAATGTGCAGGATATGATCAAGAACAATCACAAGCACATGTTGGCTTAAAGTTGAGCGTGTGTAAAGCAAAATTTGAAATCATGGAAATGGCAGTTCTTAGTTAAACATCGTCAGTTCAAAACTAGGCCATCCAAACTTAACGATAATATTCAGAAACCAACAGTGAACATTTTGAGATCAATTTTAATGGCAAATGATTTCAGTTGGTCATCGAATATGACAGTGGCATCTCTCCTCCTCTGGTGATCTTATGACTCAATGTTTCATCCGAACATGATAGTAAATTATTATTACAAAATTGTAAGTTCATCTCCTTAATAATAGTATGTTTACCTTTGGTAGTATTGTCCTAGTAATTGTAACAATGAACTGCATAATGAACCAAACCAGAAATTGATTGAGCTTACACACCCAAATAAAAAGTAGACTCTTCTAATCCACCAGTGGAAATTCGGTGTTATCCATCACCAGAATTTTCGGACACTTGAAGCTAATTATAAAGTTATGTAAATGTTGGAATGTGGATGATTAAGCTATAGCCAAGATTAAAGGTATCAATTTATCTCCCTCTTGAAGGAGGTTGTACCTTAAAGACTTCCCTTTAATTTAATTTTCTTTTCAGGCAAAATGTTTGTACACATCACCTGGGCAGAATAAGTGTACCTGTAGGAAAGGTTGGGTGGGAGATGGCACTGCTTGCTTCCGTGCGAGGAAGTGCTTCAACTCTAAGATTCACTGCCATAAGAATGCAACATGTAAAGGCAGAATCAAATCCATAGTTGTAAGTGCTAAAGTTAGGTCTTATTGCATCATCCTTAATCAAATGCTGTTCTGTTTAACTATATTTGGAACTTTGAGATTACTTGGGAATGTTGAGGAATTGTCTGTGTATGGTTGAAATTCCCAATTTTTTTCTCATGTAACTAATTTCTTGATGCACATTCTGTTAATGCTGAGAATTTAACCTCTTGACTACCTGGAGTGACGAGATTTCTTGTCACCTCAGAAATGACCTTGAAACCCAGAGTGACGAGAAAATCTGTCACCAAGTTTTTCACTAAAATTGTGTTTGAACAATTTTCATCCAATTTACACAAGAATTGTTTTAAAACGTGTAGAAATGATCTCGTCTAATTTTTACTAAGTTGAGCATCTAAAGTTGTATAGGTATGTAGTTAAATGTCAAAAGGGGGCAAAAATGAAAAATTCTCTGGTTTCACCCGATTTTAGAGCCTGGGATTCAAGCAGACAAAAAACAAGTGCATTTAATCACTTAATCGAGTCCTATGCTATTCTTTTCCCAAAGGGCTATGCATTTTAAACCAAACTAAATCATAAATCAACCAGAAGTCTTTTTCAAGGGGAGTATTCAGGCATGAAACTTTTAATCATAATTACACCTAACCATGCATACCTAATCATCATCTACTCATTTCATCATCATTGATGATATTAATACTGATTCGAGTCCAAAATGTGTCCGGTTTTAGAGAAGTTAAGAAAGTGACGGTAAATCAAGTAAGAATAATCATGGTTCACCTACTTGGGTGTGTTTTGGGATCATACTGCCATGTTCCTGTTAGAGATCATTCAATCATGCCCTTCATCTTACTTTTACTATTTTGCGCAATTACTATACTATTTTTCCTTTTTTAATTCCCCCCAATGATTCCGAAAGATCATGAAATATCAATGTTTTATTTTTCATAGTGCTTGATGATCACATTTTCTCTGTAGCTATTTCTCTCTATCAATGAATTAAGAGACATATAACAACTTCTTAGTACTCCGTTAATAAGCTATAAACCATAAGTTTTTTTCATTGAGAATATTAGCTCATTTCTAGTTATTTTTTGATGTGTGCTTCTGATTTTTTCTCTCATAGAAAAATAGACTTTATGATCATTTACATTTATATTAGTAAAATGGTTGAATCCATTGTAGTGTGGTTCAAATATGTGTTTCATACACTGTAGGTTTGATAGATTAACATGGGTATGTGATATTTTTCAGATGTTGCCCTTCTTGCTTTGATTATACATGAATATAACACAAGACATATTAAATGCATGTATTTCAAATATATTTGAATTCATTATTTGAAGCATAGGACTTGTTGTTTATTTTACAGGGACGGTGTGTATGTAATGATGGTTACCATGGGAATGGTGTTTGGTGTGTACCTACAAACACTTGTGCAATAAATAATGGAAATTGTCATAAAAAGGTAATAAAAATTTATTATGTTTTGTTGTTTGTTATCCTGATGGTATAATAATATTGAGGAAATGCATTGGAGCTGCAAGTAATTTAATAATCAGACTTTTATGGCTTTAAGGTGTTTCTCATTTGTTAGCTAGTATGTTTTATGGAGAAAAAGGTGTTCATAAAACAGAGTTGTTCATGTTCAAAGTGTTCTTTTGATTTGAAATCCTTTCCTGTAAGTATGCTAATGAATTGGGGTATTTATTCATTGGCTTTTAACAAAAATGCACAGTGGCATTTTATGCCAAATATACAAGTATTACTTCAATGAAAATGACACAACAGCCATTTGCCTGCCATATTGAAATAACAGTACATGTATCAACCAATTTAGAAATAGAAAACAAAAGGGTTTGGATCGTTTTTTTTTAAATTTTTTTCTAGACGAAAGTGGAACACAGGCATTATTTCTCAGTCAGGACTCATATGGGCGCTAAGAAGGACAACTTTTCGAACTGTTTTGAATTACCTTGAGCGCCTGGGCACCAATCACGGCTAATACAGTATATATACCAAATATATGGTATTATTGTTTGATGTCAGTATACAGGATGGGCCAAAAATGTCAATATTTTTATGTCACCACCAAAAAGGGGTGACATATTGTTACAGAGACATTGTGTCCATTTTTTTTGACAGCGGTTGGTGATTGGTGGATGGCGGTTGGCTATCAGCAATCAGTGTGTGGTGGTTGGTGTCTGTAACAAATTCTTAAATCTTCCAATAACTCTGTAACTTAACAGATACTGTTTAGACTGACTTCAGTTTTTTTGTTTTTTTCAAAATCATCTAAAGGTTATCAGAAGTTCAAATCTGGCTAAGATTTGAGATTTTACCTTCATTATCCCATCGAACGAAGTTCGGAGGGATATAGGGAACGCCTCCGTCCGTCCATCTGTCCGTCCGGGCAATAACTCAAATACCGTTGGCCCGATTTTGTTCATATTTTGTACACATATACCCTATGGGGGTAGAAGTTCTGCTCAAAATCCAATTTTCAAAATGGCCACTCATTTAGAAATGGCGGCCATTTTAGTGCCGATTTTACAGTAATTTAGGTGCAATATGTAAAACAGTAATAGCAATATGTTTTAAATGTAAAAAAATTATATAGGACATTAATAAAGCTAGAAATGTAGATATTAAAGAAGCACATGGCAGCCATCTTGATAAATGGGGGCCTTTACTCATTATTTTATGATTTTTGCTGTAACTCGAAAAGTAGTGGAGCGATTTTGTTCATATTTGGTATGTGAATACAATAAGCATGGCACACCGTCTATTAATGACACTTCTGGTAGAAGGTTGCCATTTGGAAAAATGGCTGCCATTTTTGCTATATACTTTGTAAAAATGCCAGCCATGGCTGTTCGATGGGATTTGCTACGCTTTGGCGTTGTTGTTGTCTAGTTATTGCAATTGAAGTGTTTTTTGTTAGATCCTGAAGTTTCAGCATCATAGGTTAATGTAAAGTCTTAAAATGGTTGCTAAAGCAACCCGGGGGTAGGGATAGGCGGGGCAGGTACCAATATTTCTAATCATGAAGAGCTCTAAAGTGTTTTTCTATTTATATTTCTTTTAAATGATCAAAATGTTTGGGAAGTTGTTCCCTTTATTCAGCACGATGTTCACCAAACACAAATAATGACATTTAGCATTGTGATGTCATCATGCCACAGTTCAATTAATCACAAATTTAAATTCAGTCACAGTCTAGAAATTGCAAAAATGCCTGCAATTCTCAAACCTGATAAGAAGGCCTTGTTCACGGTGGCCCAATTTTATAATTCATTTGGACTCACAGTCACACAAACTCATGCTACCATGAAGAAAGTTAAAAGGAATATACACCAGATAGAGCTATAATTATGAGGTGGCAGAAGAGATTTCAAAATGATGACTCGACCCTGGATGAACTCCAAACCAAAACCTCTTTAAATTTCATGAAAAAGATTTCAATGCTATATACACTGTAGCAGTCTCTATTGCAAAAGAAACTATCTGAGGTGATGATATGTGCACATTCACTTATTTTATTACACTAATAGCTTTTAGAGCAATTTGTTAAGGAGTAAAAATGGATTATGACGAGTATGAATCACTTCTTGATGGGCCTGAGCCTATAAAACTAGACACCATACAGGATTGATAGCCCATGCTGATGTTAGTTTTGTTGACCATGCTTATAACATTAACTGCCTTTCTCTATGATCTAGGCCATACCACACATTTCTCTCTAAGATTGAATGAACTTTCTGATTTTGCATTGCTATACATGTTTATTGCTTTAATGCTAGCTAATTCCACTCATTTTCTATCAATTTTGCATTTTTATTATCGCACTTTGAAAAAGTGCTATATTGCCGTCGTCTTGTGCTGTTGGGCGGGCGGGCGGGCGGGCGGGACATAAACCAAATCAATTGTCATCAAATTTCCAGGATAACTGCTTACCTGTTCAACTTGAAATTTTTACAGATGCAAGAGCAGACTAGTACCAAGATCTGATTAGGTTAAGGGCATGCTGGGTAAACTACGTGGTGGCCATTTTGAATTTTTCAACAAATCTTGTCATCAAAATTCTAGGAAAACCACTTATCCGTTCAACTTGAAATGTTTACAGATGCAAGAGCAGACTATTGCCAAGATCTGATTAGGTTTTGGGTATGCTGGCTGAATAACATGGTGGCCATTTTGAATTTTTCAATTTGGCGGCCATTTTGAATTTTTCAACTTGCTCCAAATTGACCAAATTTTTTTTTTAAAAACATCTACAAGTTCTCAGAAGTTCAAATCTGACCTTAGATTTCAGATTTGACCTTTCATTCACCTTCAGTGACCTTGAAAAGGTCAAAAAAGTTGATTTTCTAAATTGATATTTTGGATTTAAATTTAGGTCAGCTTAATTACAAAACACCTACTGAGGTCTGAAAAAGTTAAATTTCAAGGTCGAAGGTCAAGGTCATTAAACTAGGTCACAAATGATGTTATCCAAGTTTCTCAAAGTTTGAGACTACAAATCAATTCTTGTCATCAAAATTCCAAGAAAATCGCTAACCTGTTCAACTTGAAATTTTTACACATGCAATAGCAGACAAGTGCCAAGATCTGATTAGGTTTAGGGCATGCTGGGTAATGTATGTGGCGGCCATTTTGAATTTTTCAACAAATCTTGTCATCAAAATTCCAGGAAAACCACTCATCCGTTCAACTTGAAATTTTTACAGATGCAAGAGCAGACTATTGCCAAGATCTGATTAGGTTTTGGGTATGCTGGCTGAATTACATGGTGGCCTTTTTGAATTTTTCAATTTGGCGGCCATTTTGAATTTTTCAACTTGCTCCAAATTGACCAAATTTTTTTGTAAAAACATCTACAAGTTCTCAGAAGTTCAAATCTGACCTTAGATTTCAGATTTGACCTTTCATTCACCTTCATTGACCTTGAAAAGGTCAAAAAAGTTGATTTTCTAAATTGATATTTTGGATTTAAATTTAGGTCAGCTTAATTACAAAACACCTACTGAGGTCTGAAAAAGTTAAATTTTCAAGGTCGAAGGTCATCAAATTAGGTCACAAACGATGTTATCTAAATTTTCCCAAAGTTCCAGACTACAAATAAATTCTTGTCATCAAAATTGCAGGAAAACCGCTAACCTTGTCAACTTGAAATGTTTACAGATGCAAGAGCAGACTAGTGCCAAGGTCTGATTAGGTTTTGGCCATGCTGGGTAAATTGCATGGTGGCCAGTTTGCTCTTCAAAGTGCGATATTTATCACTGTGTGTCTTGTTGAATATGACTGATGTGATATTTAAAATCTGGTTATTGCTGGGCTCTCACAGGAAATAAACGTCACAGTGAAGCTAACAGAGTCGGTCAACCAGCTAATTTGCTGCAACGAAACAAGTGAACAATAGCTACATGCTAGTAGAAATGAATTTGATTTTAACAATTAAATTCCAAAATTAAACCCTCTGTTCTGACATCAGAGGTAGCCACCTCTAAGAAGGCTGATGTAGGCTAATTGACTAGCAGATTTGGTTTAGTTGAAGCAGTCTGTTATGCATTCATGTTTCTTACCTTAAGTTTGTTCCCCAATAGGTGATCGTTTCTATAGTCTATGAATGGTTTGAGAAATGTTGAAGAATAGTCTTATGTTTTTTGTGAAAAATTTAATTCTGAAATTCCGAGGAATGAGTCAAAGGGACTTTATTTGTTACTACGTATTCCCTGTTGAGAAATTTGAATGACGATATTTTCTTAAGTGTTGATTCATACATTTACCTGTGTATTCTGCAATTTTAAAAAGACATTTACATCTGTGATTCCTTAAATGATTTCAGAAGAGATTGAATAAGGAGATGAAATTACACACAAGACATAGAAACATTATGTATCACTATAAATCCACAGAACACATTAAAAAAGCTGTCTGTCTGGGCAAACAGATTAGGTTCAAATTTTGTAGGCTAATGTTTTATGGGGATGCATGTATAATAAGACCTCTGCTCAAGAATGAATTTTCAATTTAGCTACTCGGTTCAAATTTTGTTATTAAAATTACATATGCTGGTATAACCTGAAGGATATATGACTCTGCTAAAGAAAGAAATTTCAAGATGGCTGCTGAATTCAAAATGGTGTTTTTTGGTTCAGATTAAGTATGCCAATGCCTTAGTAAATAGGAATAAAGTAATACTCAAAATTCTAAAGAAATGTCCAAAAAGCAAACATCTCGATTACATTTTTTACCACTTAACAATAAGACAGATAGCAGACTGACAGGGATGAAACAAATCAAGTGTAAAGAGCTTATTTAAATGCAGCAATAAATCTTAGAGAAGCAATTTCTTACACTAATGAATTACCTTTGTCAAGTTTTGATTAAAAATTATGAATAATGTTGTCTACCATTTAGACATGCGGGAAGGGATTTGATGTTGAAAAATATAAAATCATGAATAAAAGCATTGTAAAATAAAAATACTGGAACTAATCCTTCATTTATCTGTTAATATTGTATTCTTAATTAATGGTTTTATGAACTAGAGTGTTATAATTCAAATATTTTGACTGCTTATTTGGCTGGTGTCATCTTTTATGAACTTAGCAAACAATTTATGATTTTTAAGCTTGAATATTTTCAACAAAATTATAAGATTAATCTACTTCTCTAACATTGATTCAAAGTTTATGTACAATCGATATGCTCTGGAATGCAGTTTATAGGGGTACTTTAAATACATAATTATGAGTTAAAAAACTTAAATGGTCCTGGTGCCAAAATCAGCATGCCTTACCTTAATTAATGTGATTGTGTTGTTTCATAAAACCATGAAAATGCAAAGGATCCAATCCTCTGAATGTACTATTGCATCTTTTTCTATTTCCAGGCCATTTGCACAGTAACTGGCCCAGGAGATAACAACTGTACCTGCCCCTTGAACTACATTGGAGATGGCTTCACCTGTGAGGGGCTTCTGGGTCTGGAAATATCAGATATACCTGATCTTGCAGTAATGAATGATGTAATCAAGGTAATTTTACATTTACACCCTATGCTGAAGGTGCTCTACAAAAAACACTCGGTGCAGATATCATACACACATATGAATATGAATGAGTACCCAAAATGGGTTAGTTTATTTACCAATAAATCTGCACTGCACATTCATGATATCCACACCGAGTGTTTTCAATATAGCACCAGCTGCATATAATAGGGTGATTTACATGAAATCAAAATTAACAACATTTGAAAACACAAACTCTAATGATTAATTTGGAAGTGAGAGTACATCAAGCTCAAAAAGTATGCAAAAGTACCAAAAAGAGAATACAAAACAATATGACAAAAAGAAAGAAAAATATAAACATCATCATGAAAACAAACAAACCTCAATTTAAAATGATTCACATTGAAACAATGTCTATTACGCTCCACTCTATACAACTGCCATGGAGCCTTTCATCTTTTATTTAACTTTTGTTAAAAAGCGTTTGTGATCACTTTCGAACCTAATTAGCCATTACTGCAGTAAAATGACCAATGGAGAGCAATAATATCACAATAAAATCATACTAAAGTGTGTATTTATATTATTTATCAATGACACTTTTAACAATAATAAAAAAGCATTAAAAAGATAAACATTTTTTTTTTTTTTTTTTTTTTTTTTTTTTTTTTTTTAAATATTTATTCAAGTTTTAGATTTACATTATAATATAAGGTTACATGATAATACATATTATAAGAAAGTATATAAGGGGGGTTTACAGGGGAGGGGAGAGACTATAATTACTTGATCTAAGTATAGTGGGTCAAATGTGAGAGTTTGGTTTTTCTATTTAGGTCTTCTTTTTACCCCCTTTCTGACTCTGTATGTATGTTTTGTAGTATTTGGTTTCCAGCTCAGAAAGGGGGGTTATACATAATTTTCTATCATTGAATTTATAAGATTCCATTTTCTGTCATGCAATTCTTCTTGTCCATGTGTTTTTGCAATATATTTGTCAGCCTTCTTTTCTCTTATTAAGTATCTTTGAAAAGCATTTATGGTAGGTGTTTTTTCTTCCAATTTATTAATATACATGAATCTCTTTATGAGTAAGGTTGCTAGGTTTTGGCTGAGAGACAATCTTGGAGATCCTAACATAAAAGCTTGGTCATCAGGTATCTCTTCATTCAGGATTCTGTAGCATTGTTGTTTGAAATCTTCCATCACTTGGCATTTCAGGAAACCATGTTCTATATCGTCTATTTGGTTGCTATTGCACAGTACGCATGTTTGGGTTTTTACTTTTTTCATTTTGAAAAGTATTTTTCTGAAGTATATTGCCCTATTTAGTATCCTATATTGAAAATATATTTATATATTTATAAAAAGATAAACATGCTAAATGAATGTCACTTATTCTTACATTGTATATTACATTGTATATTCTGTGCTCATGGGAAAAATACATTGATACATCTTGAAATTCAAAATAGAGCGGAAAAGAGTGCAATTAGCAAAAATCAAAATAAATTGGCTCGAAGGAGAAACTCTAAATTGTTTAGAAGTGTTAAAAAATCAGACACTTTATTCAAATGTTGAGGAGTTATATCATGAAATAAACATAAGCATAGAACACTGATTTCCATGAATGGCCATTACCTCATTTGATAGATGACTTTAACCATTGAGAAAAATGTTTTGATTGGTGTGATACAAAATCTCAAACAGAGTGAAACTTAGTGGAATAAGCAAAGAATAAACTGAACAGGCATGTAGGAAATACTCCACTTTGGCAATTTATTCAAAATATAGAGAGAAGTGTAAAAACCTTGACAAGAGGAATTATATGCACAGGATGACTTGATATCTCCAGCCTGAGTCTAATTCAGTGTATAACTAGATAACAGCAAGATGCTAAGACAGCAAATCCCATTGAACATCTTGTAAATGTGAAACAAAATAACCAGCCACTCCATTGCCAAAATTGCATGGAATTACAGGGTGGTACAAAAATACTAGATCACTTGTTAATTAAAATGAAGCAGAACTTCTATTCCCATCAGGTATTTGTTCATAAAATATGATTCAAACATGACCGTGCTCTATTCGAATTTCTCAACCAATCAGAATGCAGCATAGCCAATATAGAACGTTCTCTAATTCTCCATAGATGCACGACCATGCACTATTCAATCTGCAATTTGCATTGTTTTGAGTGACGTCACATCTCAGCTGCACATCTTGGGCTCTGTCCGGGGATAGCTGTTCTTTTTTACTCCCTCCGTAACTACTGTAACTATTTAAATTACTACTGTAACATGTTTGCATACACTGTATAAAATCTAAAACGGGGAGTAAAATAGAACAGCCCAAACAAATTCTAAAATTTTTCCGGCCGACTTCAGAATCTTGACAGCATGCGTATTCTTCCTTCATGCCCGTTCCACAGACACGGCTTTTACTAATTTTTATGTTTGAATCGGAATAAATAATGATAGGCCATTCAATATGGTGAAATTCAGCACTCGTTGGACAGAATGTTAGTACAAATGCACTCACCTTCGGTTCGTGCTTTGTACAACATTCTGTCCAACTCGTGCTGAATTTCACCATATTGAATGGCCTATCATTATTTATTCCTTAAATGAATATTGGCCAAACAGCATTTGACTTATGCTTAATTGATGGACAAACAAACAGACAGAGACATTCTCTATATCCCCCTATGCAATGGAATAATTAAATCACAGGACTTGATAAATCCAAGAACAATACAGAGAATGAATGGCATGTTTATATTTACATAAATCTTTGTCTTTTATTATTTCCCACAAGCATCTACTTGACTTTTTGAGTGTGATGATAGCCTACTAGTATTTTATTTTATCTTTAACTTAATAAAGGTGGCTCATGTGGAAAAGCAATATTGGATATTTGACCATAAGATATATTATTATTTGAGAATGTCATCAAACATGTTAAGTTAAGAGTACAGGTTTAGCGTATTTTAAGAGTTATTTTCAAACGTGATATAATGAAGTGTGAAATGTTAACTCAGAATTATATCTATATTAAATGGAAAATATATAATATTTTATATCAGGTTCTACTTGTCTTATATATAAATAAGTAACACATTGTTTACACAATGCTGTATTATCATTATAGTATTGTAACACTAAACTTAACCGTTTAACAACCTTATGTGTTTAATCTTGTTGTGATATCTTTTCGAAATTTGAATAAAATGTTTAATTTTTCTTGCATTTTACAAACGGTTCTGTGAGTTGATAATATAGCATGTCTTTTATTTTCTTATTTACTGATATCTTCAATTCTCTTTTTATTGAGTATGAGTTTTTTCCTCATGGTATCTACCTCTAAATACTGTGAACTTACCTTATAGTTATCAATGACATATGATGCATTCTACAGTTATACTAATTGCCAGTGTCCCTTTTCCAAACGAATAAATTCCTAATTGCTGGAACTATTAGCAGCCATATGCACGCTAAAATGCTATTCTCGAATATCAACTGGTACTGCTCCACAGATTTATTTTATTGTTTAGAAAACAAGACACTTATCCTAAAGTCGTATAAAACTCACTCACTTACTTTGGAATTCCAATTCAGGATAACTCTTTCATATAATATTTAATTTAAAGTGTTGTTTAAACACTAATTCATTCAGCTGCTGGTTTATATTTATTTTATATTTATATTTTATTGTTTACTACTTCTACTTCTGGAAGCAAGCAAACAAATCATTTGTAGAGAGCTGATAAGAGGTCACTCTACTCTACTTGAGGAGTATACTTTCTTTTATCTGTTCTTGAATACATTCTCTTACTATGTTCTCTGAATAGAATAATACTCGAATGACGTAGTCTTGCATTGTGACCCTATTATATACATCCCCCCTGTATTTCCTCTTCCTCATAGAGAAGGAAGGGTCTTGATATAAGACTAGAATGGCCCTACAATAACACCTGATTACGAGTGTCCACTTCATACCTGTTTGTTTTATTCCTTAAAAGATCCATTGGAAGGTTTATACTACATTTGAAATCATTATCAGGATATCATTGTGTAAAATTGCCGATTCCATTCAATTCAGCTTTTCTGCATTTCAAAATAACTTACACAACTTATACCTAGCTAGATGAAATATGATGTATGTTTGACATGTTATTAAGATTTATTAAAGGTCCCATTTAAAGTTAAAACCACTTTGGCTAATATTTTCAAACTTTGCATATACAATCTTTACTATATACACTGTATAAACTATAATTTTTACTTGTTTTTAGACTCTTCCATTTACTGATGATTATCTTAATGATATAGACTCAAACTACACAGTTTTTGCACCATACAACCAGGCTACACAACAGTTCCTTAAGTCCATGAGCCTAAGATACTGGACGCAGCACCTTAATGTGCTAACACTCTTAAGGTAGGTGTTATGCAATTACCCTTTCCAATAATTTGATATTGTATATTTAAAATGAGAACTTTATTTCGTAGTTATACAACTTAACTAGCCTCTCAGGGTATTATTCTATGTTGTTGTAATGTTGTATCTTGAATTTAGTACAAGGCTATTGAGGAGGCCATCTATCAAGATAAGGTATAAGCTATAGGCCCCAAAACACAACCCAGGCATAAGTGCGCTTAAAAACAGTGATTTATGATGCCTTTTCACTTTTGTAAAGTGTAAGAATTTACATTTTCCTTTCATAGTTGAGTCAATAAGGCATAAAGGAGTTCAGGGAACCCTTTCAATATCCATCCTTCCAGTATGAGCTTTATGTAGTAAAGATGATATACACTGTATAATTACTTATTAAGCCTTCTGAGAAAAGGACATTGGTTCTTAACATTAAAGTATAAATCATATAATATAGAGTGTGCAAGTGTCAGGAGATGGGGACCAAAGATAGGGCAAAGCAAAGTTTGATCCATTTTGGTATGAGAGGCAGCCAGGACAGTACTATATAGCTATACTTTCCTTTTAATTGAGATGTCCCCTGATATGTGACATTCTTAAAATAAACAGTATTTGTGTCACAGAATTCAAACTAAGAGTATATTTAAAGGCCCCATATAAAGTTTAAACCACTTTGGCTTATATTGTAGTCTTACCCAATGTTATCAAAGTGTGGTATGTGAAACTTTTTTTTTTAATTTCAAAAAGTGGTTTTTGATAGACCTTTTGTTCCAAAATTTGTGAATTTAGTTAAAACCAACTTTTACAGGTCACTCATATCTTTTAATTAGCCACAATTCATACCAATGCATAGCATTCATCCTCCCATGTTTTTTGCCGAAAAAATTAAGAAAATCGGTTCATAAATAAGCGAGAAATAAACTTATCAGTGCATGAAAATGGTTCTGAGAAAAATGCATTTCAAATTTTAGTTCTCATTGAAACCAATGGTACAATGATATCTAAAACATAATTTATTCTTCCTTTTAACCTGGTTAGACAATCAACATTGGTTTTTATGAAAGTCTAGCATATTTAGAAAAGATTGACATCGAAAAAAAAATTTCAAAGTTTTTGTTACCTTAGTGACATCACTAATGTTTCAAAATATTTTTGATATGCTAAAACATTGAAGTGGCCCATTAAAAATGGCATTTTATTATTGAAATAGTGTGTCCTTTGTTCAATCTTTGCATAGGTGTTAAAAAGATAATCTTTTTTGAAATGCATTAAGAAAATATTTGATGATTAAGAAATTTAAACTTTTTTTGAAAAATGGCGTGAAATTTGAATATTTGAGAAATGAAATGCTCACAACTTTTTTTTCAAAAATAATTTTTTGTTCAAAAATCTCTAAAATCACTTTTTAAGTACTGACAAATAGTAAATGAATGATAAAAAAATATTTTCAAACTTTAGACGGGGACTTTAAGAAATCTAGTTTCTTTAATAGAAACCTGGAAGCACCTAGATAGATAACATACATGTAGCCCCTTTTGAAATGGACTTGTGAAACAATGTGGATTCTTGACATTACAACCAAGAAGCATTATTATATGGCTAATATAAGGCAGGTGCTCTTTTCAGGTCAAATGGTTAGTATTGACCTAGTTTTAAACATTTGACTTTCTTAACACTTGCAAAAAATTAGTTTTCATTAAGTTTGGAAAGAATTTAAGCAGATGACTTCATGTTTTGTTTCCTAGACTTTGATTGTCTCCGTCATCCTCTGATCAATCTTGTTGTTTTACTTGGTCTATTAAGCCCTATTAAAATTGAAAGAAAAGTTGGATAACACAAGAATTCCTGTGCCAGTCTTTAGTATCATTGTATAGTTTGACTAATTCAGGTTAAATAGTTAATTTGCAAAAAATTTCAGCTATCACACAATTGATGGAACATACACCGTGTCTGATCTTGTGGGCGCTGTCAATGACACAAAAGCAACATCTGGTAGTGAGAACACAGTGACATCTATAGAGACACTAGCTGATGGATTCAACATTAATGTAACATATGTTCCTAAGGTAAGTATGGAACCGTCTTTTTCCTTGAATCAATGATGCCATTCTTATAAGAAAAATTACAAAGCCATACTGGGTAACAGCTTGCTTATCTTGTTGAATGATTATGACCTGTAAACAAAAAAATGTAGAAAATCAGAATTTGAACAGTGATAAATAGATGTTTTCTTTTATGTTATGGTTTTGATTGCACATGCACATTGTTTGTTGGAACAGAGATATATAAATTGTCTCTGGTTGGAATATTCATTTCACTTCACACTTTAATTTCTTCACTGAAATGTTGTCCTCTGAACACTTGATGCAGTTTATCACTTAATGGTATCACTTAATAATTGCACTCACTTGATGCAACTAAAAATGAACATTATTGTTAATATTTAACAGTTCCTTCAGTAATAATATCCAACCTGTCTTTCCATGCATTTTATATACATAGATTCTACTTTGTTTAGAATATTTATTTCATTTTGTTATATTTTATTTTGCTTTCAAAACTTGACTCTCTTGATTTTTACTTCGGGACACCCTTTAATTTCAACAACTATTATGTTAAACCATACATTCAATCAAAACACATGTTTGACCTATAAAGTAGATGGTTTGTCAGTGATTTCCACAAATCTGCACCATTAATATTGTGATAGGAGTGATGAAAAAGGTCAATAAATTACTTTAGAATCCAATTTCATTTAGTAAATGGATCTTTAAATATTCAGTTATAGGGCATAGCTAGGTTATACAGTTCAGTTTATATGTCCATCCGTTATAGATTATTTTCTGCTTGATTGATAACTTATGGCATGCTCCATATTCTGAATCAAAAATTGTAGATATTAAAGAGATATTGTGAGAACTATTTTAGAAGGTTAAATATGTTCTCCTTCTTCCTTTGAAATTATGGTCTTGGAAACTCGAAGAAAGAATTGTGGCTATAAAATGTCATAGAAGTGGTGTTTTACATTGCACACAAGGAAACAATGACTTCAGTAGTAATGAATAAGGAAAATGTGCATGATGCGGACACTCAAATTATATAGAAGATGCAAAATAGACATTTTATTCAAACAGAGAAAAATGGAGTGAAATAGAATGGAGATTTTTATATTGGAACTGTTGCAATATAGTGCTTTGATAATTCCTACTCATACACATCAATTGAGATTGGACAATTAAAATGTCACAAACAGGCTTTTATTTCTGGTTAAGTTAATAATACTTCACACATTTCTTGGCATATTTGTCTGTAGCAGTAGATTTATATGTATGGCTATGATATTGCCTTCTCACCTTATCTAAGTGCTTTTAGTTCACCACCATACAATGTAGCCTAATGTATTAAATCATTGAGTAATGACATGGTCCAGAATGAATAACTCATATTTTAACACAAAGTTCAGAACACACGACTGGACTGGGAACTAGGGAGTTTATACATATTTATAATCATTAACTTTATAGATTCTGAGTGATTAAAAGGAGACTTTATCTCATATTTTTCTTCATAGAGTATGTTTGTATGAGATAATGCATTTAAACTGTAAGATGAATGTTTAATTTAGTAAATCAACCAATTAATGAAGCAGTTGGCACCTGGCAATTGATAAATTCATTTACATGTAGGTGACAAAAAAAAGGTTTTGCATTAGTGTTGAATACCAAAGTGTATTTACATGTCAAAAGTGCAAGAAATGTAAATGTGTAGGAGAGTCTCTAAATTACAAATTATCTCTTAAATCAAAGATGTATCATTTTTCAGCCAAGTTGACAGAAACATTGTCAGTGGGGTTATCTTCATTATGCAAAACTAAGCTGAAATGGTAGGAATGAGTGTTGATTGAAGAAAATAGACATGCAGTCTACACTCTAGATTGCATTGTAATGCCAAAAAATGAAACACTTTATTCAGATTTTAGTTATAATTGTGAGAAATAAGCGCAGCCATAGAGAGCATTAAACGCGGGTCTAAGCTTCAGATAAAAGAAATTACTTAGCATTAATTGTCCTAGTTTCTTCTAGTGTTGAAAAACGGCTGAATAAGTATAAAAATGAATTCAATGCTTTTATCTGAAATAAACAACTTTATGTATATTATGATACAAAGCTTTTTGTTTATTTATATTATTCACTGCTGGCATTTGTTTCATGTATTCTTTGAGTTACTTGTTGAATAAATCATGGAGATTTCAAGAAATGATTTATAAGCAGGTACCTTGCTGGTTCATTGACTATTGATTTGTTTTATGTTGGGGCAATTGTATTTAGAATTAATTGCCTAAGATCACCATAGATACTGTAGTCTAATTCAGCGTTGATTAATACATCCAAATACATGTAAACTTGGGCTTAGCCATGGGGGTGCTCCCTCCACCCCTACAGAAAAAGAAAATAGTTCTAGTATATTGCTGATTAGAACCAAAACCCAAATACATAGAACTGCTGCAAATAATTTTCATGTGATGCTGATTTGATCTTAATGATCTTACATGAATCTTCTCAGGCCTTCCTGGTTGTTTGAATGTAGATTGAATGTCATCCTCTTTTCGGGGAAAAATATGTAGTGACAGGATGTTCTAATGACATTTTCAAGCTGAATTAAGGCCAGACCAAAGATTAAAGTGTGGACAGGATCAGGCAATTGCAAAGGGAAGATACAAATCCCAGTGGAAAAGTATAATCATTGATTTGTTACCAGGCATTGATTAGTTAAACTAATTCAACAAATACGTTTTACATTGTACTTATAAATCATCTGCATGCCACTGAAGGTTAAATAAAGCTTGAATTTTGTCAGTTGTGTAATTGTATTTTGTACTTCATGCCTTTTATGTGTGACATTTGATTTTGTGATTCATAAAATTAAGATTTCTCTCTTCACCTTCAAAATTCATTGGTGATTTTTGCACATTTGTGCCATATAATATGATTGTAAATGAATACATGACAGGTTAGTCCATCCTTGTTGTAATTTTTGGTCTAATAGAATGCAAAGCTTCCTGCGCCAAAGACATTTTCTCTGATACATGCTCCAGTCTATTTTTCTCTTGGAGACTAAGCAAATGAGATGTGTATAGTTCTTGTGTTTCCATAGAATTTGGAGTATCAACTACAGCATGTTGTTATTTTATTTCTTATAAATTCCACTCATTCCCCATTTTAATTTACATTTTAAAGCATGGCTATTGTAGTTTAAGTTGGTCCATCCCTTGTAGCTTTGGACTTTTGGACCCATAACTTAGGAATTATTGTTTTGATTTGCATTAAAATCTTCTATGTTCTTTTATATAGCACCAAAGAAAAGTCTTTGACACAACTTTTTGGAAAAATTCAAAATGCCTGCCATTTTTATTATTGTAGAAAATTCACTTTTTGAGCTATAACTCTACTTGCATTAAATTGTACAGGTATCTAATTCTAATCTAAAAATGCGGTTTTAAAGTGTTGACATAAATTCTTGCAAAAATTCAAAATGGCCAGCACTTTTATCGGAGAAAAGTCACATTTAGAGAGAGAGCTTTGAAGTCAATATGGCTATCAAATTGACAGTAACTAAGATCACAACACTTTGTGAGCTCAGTACCCATGGTACTATTTATCTAGTTTCTAATGTTGGCTTTCTTGATTTAGATAATGCAGAGATAATTGGCATATTGCCATATATATATCATTATACTAAATTGGATTTTAACCCTAGAAGTCCTAACGTAAAAAGAAGTCACACGAATACCTTAGGGGGCTCAAAAGGGCACCCCCCCTTGTAAAATTTGTATAAGTAGAGCTAGGATGTTCAAACTTTCCCCAAATACTTCATTCAATTATCTACAACTTGGTGTAATAACTTTAACAACTATGATGATGTAAGACTGGGTAATTTTATTCTAAAGACAACAAGTATGGTAGAATTAGTGCTAGCCTTTTCCCCGATTTTGTCTATTGGAGCTGATGATTACATCATAATAGATTAATAACAAAACAGTAAAGCTAGGATGTTCAAACTTCCCCAAAGTATACTTCATTCAATCATTTCCAACTTGGTGTAATAACTTTAACAACTATGATGATGTAAGACTGGGTAATTTTATTCTAAAGACAACAAGTATGGTAGAATTAGTGCTAGCCTTTTTCCCGATTTTGTCTATTGGAGCTGATGATTACATCATAATAGATTAATAACAAAACAGTAAAGCTAGGATGTTCAAACTTTCCCAAAGTATACTTCATTCAATCATTTCCAACTTGGTGTAATAACTTTAACAACTATGATGATGTAAGACTGGGTAATTTTATTCTAAAGACAACAAGTATGGTAGAATTAGTGCTAGCCTTTTTCCCGATTTTGTCTATTGGAGCTGATGATTACATCATAATAGATTAATAACAAAACAGTAAAGCTAGGATGTTCAAACTTTCCCAAAGTATACTTCATTCAATCATTTCCAACTTGGTGTAATAATTTTAACAACTATGATGATGTAAGACTGGGTAATTTTATTCTAAAGACAACAAGTATGGTAGAATTAGTGCTAGCCTTTTTCCCGATTTTGTCTATTGGAGCTGATGATTACATCATAATAGATTAATAACAAAACAGTAAAGCTAGGATGTTCAAACTTTCCCAAAGTATACTTCATTCAATCATTTCCAACTTGGTGTAATAACTTTAACAACTATGATGATGTAAGACTGGGTAATTTTATTCTAAAGACAACAAGTATGGTAGAATTAGTGCTAGCCTTTTTCCCGATTTTGTCTATTGGAGCTGATGATTACATCATAATAGATTAATAACAAAACAGTAAAGCTAGGATGTTCAAACTTTCCCAAAGTATACTTCATTCAATCATTTCCAACTTGGTGTAATAATTTTAACAACTATGATGATGTAAGACTGCGAAATTTTATTCTAAAGATAACACATATGGCAGAAATAGTGCTAGCTTTTTCCGATTTTGTCTATTGGAGCTGTTGATTACATCATAATTAATCAATTACCCTTTGTACGATTTTGCTGATTTTTTTTTGACGATCCTAACAGATGTCAATAAAAAGTTAAGGGGAAAAAACTTAACAGAAAAAAACTTTGACCCCCCCCTAGGGCATCTAGGGTTAAGGAAATGCACTTTTTAAAGCACATTGAAATTTATTAGAAACAATGCACATTGGTTAATATAACTTGTGTTGTTTCCTGATCCCAACCTGACACTGGACGCTACGGGCCACATAAGAGCACATTATTCCTAATTTTTTCAATGATAGTTCCCAACTATTTATGTTATTTTTTTTTATTTTAGTTTGTGCGTGTAAACGATGCGGTTATTCTACATGGTGACATTCATGGTCTTAATGGAATTATACACATCATTGACAAGGTAAGACTTTACAAATGTATATCCTTTTTAGTGAGATGTGTCACAAGAAACAAACGTGCACACTACATTACAGATGAATATGCTAACCATAACATTTGGGAGTACACCCCTCAGATATATTTCTTGAATGGATACATTTTTAGAAACACCTCTCATCTTATGACGTATGAAATATTCTAAAATTAACACTTTCAATGAGAGCACCTCAAAGTGTGTTAATGAAAAAACTAATTACTTTTTTGACATGCAATTTATTTTAAGGCCATTTCTGTTTTTTTACAAATCAGTAATCTATGTCAAATACTGTATAAGTGGTAATTTTGCCTAATCATTTAATTTGCCTTTTTCCTAATTTTTGCCAAGTTCGGAAAATTAAATGTCGGAAATATTGTTTTTATAATGTTATCCAATGGGAGGTTTATTGTCATTAGGAAAATTAAAATTAGGAAAATGATGAAATTTGACCATTCGGAAAATTAACCACTCGGATTAAATACCACTTATACAGTATTGAGCTCAACTCAGGTAGGATGGTATACATATCTATATTTTTCTCAAGTGTGCAATATTATTTTTCATGTGTCTTGCTTTTCCATTTACTGTAGTGAAATTAAAGGAAACATTGACGACTTTGATGAACTTAAATGATCATGCTATTCCCAAGTTAATTAACAAAAGGGAAAGGGTGGGTTACAAATAATGAAGTACTGTTTTCTGACCAATCATTTATCTATGAACTGCCACAATTACCAGCTTGTCATCTATCTTTCGTTTGTCAAAACTAGAGCCCCAAGACCTTTTCTGAAAGAGGTAAAATTCGTCCAATATCCAATATCTGTTAGGCTACAGAAGATTGTGGATAAAGTGACATGGAATTAGAATAAATATAGCAATATAGTTAAACATTTAAGTTGTGTGAAGTGACCCTGGTAGTGATCTCAAAATATGGTAAATATAGCTGATAACCTTGAAATAAGTCACTGATAAATGACATACAGCTTAATAAAATGTCAAGGAGAAACTCCATAATAATGAAAGTGAATCTTTCTTTGCATATCAGATGATCCATGGATTAACCAGATGATGCCAGGATCAAGTGGGATCAAGAAAACTGATGAATATATGTCTTCATTTTGGAATCTTTACTGAAGCATGCCCATCACATAGTAAATATGAAATATTTGTTAGATCAAATAAGCCTTTCTGATTACTTGACATGGAAATTGAAATTGAAATTTTTCTTGAATGATTGAGATGGAATGAAATAATTTTCTGGAATGATTGATATGGGCAAATTGACAAAAACTGGAATGATTGACATTGAACATCTGGAATAATACTTTAGCACCTCTCAATCCAAAACTTGTTTGATATTTCTTGGATTCTTAGACTGATTCTTAGCCTGGGTATAAAACAAATTGTAGTACCTCAAATGATTTACAGAATTTTGAAGTGATCCAGTCCTTCCAATTGATTCAAAATCTTTTGGAATGTTCAAAGTCTTTTTGAATGATTGTCAACTAAAGTTGATCATTCAATATATTTCATTTTTGAGGTCACCTTTTTTATATGGGTTGTGCCACCGACACAATGGCATTACCATTGCAGACCATCTCAAGCTAGTGGCCTGAGCTCAGGGGCCTGCCCCACTCCAGAGAAAATGTGAAAGTTAGACCCTCTATGGTGCATCTGAGAGCCATATTTGCATCATTAAATACAAATCTCTAAAATAATGTTTTTTCTGTATAAAGGGCTTGTGAGCATATCTCTAATTTGAACACTTCAGTTGTTCCCTAATGTCAACACATTTTTCATATTTCAGGTTTTAGAGCCATATCCCATTGCAAATGGAGAAGCACCAAGCTTAGTTGAACTATTACAGAATAACCAACATTACACAATATTTCTGGGGTATCTCAGTCGCAAGGGGCTAATAGACAAACTTGCTAATCTAACCACACAATACACTTTATTTGCACCTGTTAATTCTGCCTTTAATCAATGGAATGAGACAGATTCACTTTTGGAGGTAAGTGACCCTTTCCATTTGATATTATCTTCTTGCTTAGAGCTTATTTCTTACAGCTTCCCAATAAAACTAATACAAAGTAGAGTTTACATATATTTTTTCACAGTTCAGAGTGTTAATATCATACACATTTAAGTACATTCAGGGGCGTAGCCAGCTTTCAGTCAGGGGAGTTTGATCACCAAAAAAATTGGTTTTCAGTCAGATTGTGACATAAACAAGCCAAAAGTTTATTTTGAATTTTACAAAAATTGACAGATTTGGTTAACAGATTTGGTTAATATGCTGATAGGGACATAGAACTCTGCTCAAGAAGATTATAGGTCCTCAAATTAATTCTTTAAAAAACTCTCATTGAAATCACATAAAGTTGTCATTTATGATCAACATTTTGCAGTTGGTGTAATGTAAGCATTCAGTATGTGTGACAAGTGTTACACTTTTGTAATTTTGTTTATATTTTATCAGGCTAATTCATGCTGTTTTGTCAGTAGAAATTAAAATAATCAAAATCTGTGTGTGGCTGTTTCTGAAACTGCCTCTCATGAATTTTAAAATTGGCAAGAATCAGAATACATAAAAAATAAACTTTATTTTGCCTTGCTTAATAAAGGCAAAATCTTTGTCATGTGTATAATCAGGATCAGCATAACCGTATGAGACTGATGATTATTAAACTTTCCAACTGATTGGATTTCCACCTTTGAATGATTTATTACTGAAATAATTATCTTCATTTATTTTGTAACTCAACCTAGCTGTTAGCACATGGCAAATAATTCAATAAATGAGGAATAGAAACATTCATTTTAATTCCTCATTTATTCATTACAGTTTGATAAAACAAAAAGGAGCTTTTGGGAGATGACACCCTCTCAAAGAGACAATTTTTTAAAGGTCTCTTAATTTCTTTATTAATCAAGTACATTATTGTATTTCCATTTGGATTAATGCTTAAACCATAAGAAACTATATGATTTTGTTGACATGTATGTGAATTGTGATGTAACATTAAAATCAGGATCCTTGAAAGAGTAAATATGAATGTTATTTAGAAACTTACACACAGAATTCAACTATGCCATGAAAATGGAAGAAATTGTCAAAAATTCAGATCTGCTAAAATCTCAAAAAGGAGACTTCAACAAGATTTCAAAGCTATTTAGCGAGCTCTCTATAGATGAACTTTTGAAAGTTGCCATTTCCATGTTATCCAATGTGTAATGGTATGCTTGCTGAAATGTTATAGCTTTCAAAAAATATTTCTATGTAGCAAACTGACTTTAACTATCTTAATTTGAAAGAAGTTCATTCATTTTATCAAGGGAAAGAGGTCCTCAAAATCAAATTTATTCTTAAAAAACTCTCATTGAAATCACATGGGAGGCAAAAAAAACGATTTTCAAAATTGACTTTGATACCCGTGAATTGTTATTTCATGGAGTATACTAAAAGGAACATGACTCCTGTAGGTAGGCAATTCAATTTCCTTCATTAGTTCCATAAACAGATACCATATAATTATATTTGTAGCAAACTCACCGCCTGCATTGGAATAACATGTAGATGGTGACTTTCAAAAGTTAATCAAATACACGGTGTAATGCATCAAAGTACGACATTTTGTAAGTGAGGGCCAAATTCAGGAAAATTCTGGGGAACTAGAAATGAAGTCAATTCATATGATCATTAATACAATAAGGCAAATTTTACTGCTTTTTTAATAATAGAAATTGAAACATGGGCACCATTCAACTGAGAAAAGAAGGTTTCTAAACTTTTGGATGGGAGTGTATGTTGACCTTGTATATTACTGAAGGTTAAATATTGTTCTGTTTTATAGCACCTGGACATGTTATATTACATTGTCCCAGAGGTTCTTTATACACGCAACTTGATTAACCTCACAACTATGGAATTAGATAGCCTTAACACAGATGGTGATTCATTGGAACTAGCTGCAGAGAATAATAAGGTAGGTATTTTTGATTAAGGCCTGGATTGTTTAATTGTCTGTTAAGTGGAACTGTTTCCCCTATCAAATGAATTGTGCCTCTTTGTCTCACATAGGTGAGCTATTGAAATCACCCACTTTTCTGTCTCTTTCTCTGTCCATCAAATCATATGTCCATCCCTCCATCCATCCATCCACCAATCCTTCCCTCCATCCATCCATCCATCCCTCCATCCATCCATCCATCCATCCATCTATCCATCCATCCTTCCCTCCATCCATCCATCCATCCACCAATCCTTCCCTCCATCCACCCATCCTTCCCTCCATCCATCCCTTCCTCCTTCCATCCATCCCTCCATCCATCCATTCCATCCATCCCTCCATCCATCCATCCATCCATCCATCCATCCATCCATCCATCCCTCCATCCATCCATCCATTCCATCCATCCCTCTCCACCATCCATCCATCCATCACATATTTTGTAATCCTCAATGACAGTTAAAATTATTTCCCTTTTAAAATGTATCTGAATGACTATGTATAGAAACTGTGTGTTTTTATTATCGCACTTTGAAAAAGTGCTATATTGTCGTCGTCTTGTGCTGTTGGGCGGGCGTACGGGCGTGCGGGCGGGCGGGACATAAACCAAATCTTGTCATCAAATTTCCAGGATAACTGCTTACCTGTTCAACTTGAAATTTTTACAGATGCAAGAGCAGACTAGTACCAAGATCTGATTAGGTTTTGGGTATGCTGGCTGAATTACATGGTGGCCATTTTGAATTTTTCAATTTGGCGGCCATTTTGAATTTTTCAACTTGCTCCAAATTGACCAATTTCTTTTTTTAAAAACATCTACAAGTTCTCAGAAGTTCAAATCTGACCTTAGATTTCAGATTTGACCTTTAATTCACCTTCAGTGACCTTGAAAAGGTAAAAAAAATTGATTTTCTAAATTGATATTTTGGATTTAAATTTAGGTCAGCTTAATTACAAAACACCTACTGAGGTCTGAAAAAGTGAAATTTTCAAGGTCGAAGGTCAATGTCATTAAACTAGGTCACAAATGATGTTATCAAAGTTTCTCAAAGTTTGAGACTACAAATCAATTCTTGTCATCAAAGTTCCAAGAAACCTACTGAGGTCTGAAAAAGTGAAATTTTCAAGGTCGAAGGTCAATGTCATTAAACTAGGTCACAAATGATGTTATCAAAGTTTCTCAAAGTTTGAGACTACAAATCAATTCTTGTCACCAAAATTCCAAGAAAACCGCTAACCTGTTCAACTTGAAATTTTTACACATGCAATAGCAGACTAGTGCCAAGATCTGATTAGGTTTAGGGCATGCTGGGTAAATTACGTGGCGGCCATCTTGAATTTTTCAACAAATCTTGTCATCAAAATTCCAGGAAAACCACTTATCTGTTCAACTTGAAATTTTTACAGATGCAAGAGCAGACTATTGCCAAGATCTGATTAGGTTTTGGGTATGCTGGCTGAATTACATGGTGGCCATTTTGAATTTTTCAATTTGGCGGCCATTTTGAATTTTTCAACTTGCTCCAAATTGACCAACTTTTTTTTTAAAAAACATCTACAAGTTCTCAAAAGATTTGACCTTTCGTTCACCTTCAGTGACCTTGAAAAGGTCAAAAAAGTTGATTTTCTAAATAGATATTTTGGATTTAAATTTAGGTCAGCTTAATTACAAAACACCTACTGAGGTCTAAAAAAGTGAAATTTTCAAGGTCGAAGGTCAAGGTCATTAAACTAGGTCACAAATGATGTTATCCAAGTTTCTCAAAGTTTGAGACTACAAATCAATTCTTGTCATCAAAGTTCCAAGAAAACCGCTAACCTGTTCAACTTGAAATTTTTACACATGCAATAGCAGACTAGTACCAAGATCTGATTAGGTTTAGGGCATGCTGGGTAAACTATGTGGTGGCCATCTTGAATTTTTCAACAAATCTTGTCATCAAAATTCCAGGAAAACCACTTATCCGTTCAACTTGAAATTTTTACAGATGCAAGAGCAGACTATTGCCAAGATCTGATTAGGTTTTGGGTATGCTGGCTGAATTACATGGTGGCCATTTTGAATTTTTCAATTTGGCGGCCATTTTGAATTTTTCAACTTGCTCCAAATTGACCAATTTTTTTTTTAAAAACATCTACAAGTTCTCAGAAGTTCAAATCTGACCTTAGATTTCAGATTTGACCTTTCGTTGACCTTCAGTGGCCTTGAAAAGGTCAAAAAGTTGATTTTCTAAATTGATATTTTGGATTTAAATTTAGGTCAGCTTAATTACAAAACACCTACTGAGGTCTGAAAAAGTAACATTTTCAAGGTCGAAGGTCATCAAATTAGGTCACAAACAATGTTATCTAAATTTTCCCAAAGTTCAAGACTACAAATAAATTCTTGTCATCAAAATTGCAGGAAAACCGCTAACCTTGTCAACTTGAAATGTTTACAGATGCAAGAGCAGACTAGTGCCAAGGTCTGATTAGGTTTTGGCCATGCTGGGTGAATTGCATGGTGGCCAGTTTGCTCTTCAAAGTGCGATATTTATCACTGTGTGTCTTGTTTATTTTACCTTAAGGGTACATGCACAATATTTTGTTATCTACTTGTTACTTGGATGGGCAGGCTGGACAGTAGGCAGGGGTGTCTCTTTTATCCCATCTGAACATTTTATATAAGCCCTGCTATTGATGAAATAATTTTCAGCAAATCTTCAACTGAATGGTATTTGCAGCTTCCATTTTTATTATTACATGTAGGTGTGGTATTGTTCACTGAGAGCCTTTTCCATTATTAATGCTCAGTGTGTAGGCTAAAAAGAGGGAAACCTGTGGCACAGTGGCACATGTCATGTTGTTTTAAGCTGCCAATGTTTCAGCTACATGCATTTGTTTTCTTTATGGGCCTCTTGGTTAGGGTGGCGCATATTTTATAATCTTTGTTATCATAACTAATCCAAGGATTATCTTTGTCATAGTATGTAATCTATATTTATTTGGAGGATTTGGAAAATAATTTAAAAATAAATCCTGTTTGCTTTTAGTGACAAAATATAATTGATTTCAATTCTACCAATAATTTGCTTCCCATTAGATAGAATCTCTCATTTCTCATCATTTGCCTTCACAGGGCCATTAAAGGATATTAAGATTAACAAGATCCATACAATGACCTTTTGAATGTATTTGACCTCTAAATAAAACATTTTACTTAACGTAAAGGCTAGAGTACCGACAATTGTCGGTACTCTAGACTCTGATGTGGTGGCACGCTAGAGGACCGACAAATAAATTGTCGGTACGGGAGATATGCTGTGTTTACACGCTAGAGGACCGACAAATATTGATTTTCGAATTTTCTGGCGCATGCGCAATGCGCGGGGGGATATTTCAGATATCATACGGATATTTTGGGAACAAGTGCAAAACCCGGGGAGGGCATTAGCCCCGGTTACCCGGGGATTACCAAACCCAGGTCAAAAAATGGTAGCCCGGGAACAGGGAATGGTAGTAAACGTTGAAAGGCCCAATAAAAAACATGAACAAGTAAGACGTTAGAGAGCTATTAATGCAGAGTAAACGGCTATATATATTCTAAACAGATAGGATATTTCTCCTGAGCCGATCAGGCGTAGAAAGGGGCGTTTGCGGGGGCGTTTGCTACCCATTAGATAGAAGAAAATAGCTAGAATGTTTTTTATTTGAAGCTTATGGTATGAGGTTCCATATCCATCTGCCAAAAGGTATATAGTCCATTTAAAAACCTGTGGTATCGTTCTAAATAATTACCCATAGTTGGCTTCTAGGGTACCTAGTATGCCACTATTTGGTGTCAAAATAAAGAGGAGTTCAACTTTCATTTGAATTACGAAAATAGCGATGTAGGTCAAAATAGTTCCGAACGTGAGCATGTTTACTACTCGTTTGCCCGTCATATCAGAATTGAGGAAGTGGTAGCAAACGCGAGTTACAATAAACGGACGCTGATATCTCAAAAAGTAACCTGACTCCCTATAATTTGATGTAGGTCAATCGAACCCCTATATGGACAGGTGCATTTTGATATATAACACTATGGGGGGTAAGCGTTTCATACTTGGTCACGAACGCCATATGTGCAAATGGTGCAAAGTATTGTTATGAATTTTCGAATTTGGTGTTGGATTACGGTACTCATACCTTATAGCACAATTTTTGATGGAAGTTGCATTTGGCTCCCTTAGTTAATGGCCACGATTCCATCTCGCATGAGAGAGCTACCAAACGCAAAGTAAACAGTGATATATTCCAAATGGGATATTTCTCTTGTGCCATGGCGTAGTAAGGGTAGAGAGCGACGGGGGCGAAAGCATCCCCTCCCCTAACTGTATATAGCGACCCATTAGATAGAACAAGAAAAGAGCTTTAAAATGTTTTTTAATTGAAGTTTGTAGGACAATTTTGATGGAAGTTGAATCAATTTTTGTCGAAATAAATTATGGCTCACTACAAGTTAATGCCTGTACGATTCCATACTGGAAAAGAAGCACTATGTCCCCCCTCAAAAGAAAAAAAGTAGGTCTTGCCGGGATTCGAACTCGGGACCGAATGTGTCCGAGTCGTGCTCGCTAACCACTAGACTACCAGTGATGTGGTTATTTCTAAAAGTAAAAGTAGTGGATTTATTTATGAAATTGTCGGCTCTCTAGCAAAAACACGTAGCAGCCACTTGCGTACCGACAATTGTCGGTTCTCTATCTGGCACTACTAGTTGACGATAGAGTGCCGACAATTGTCGGTACCCCAGCAAATACCCCTGGACAGTCTCCAGTACCGACAATTGTCGGTCCTGGAGCCACTCCGTTTACTTAAATATGGCTCATTGTGACATGTGTTGGCCTTAATATGTATACCATAGACATGTACATGTATTAACAGTCCACCTTTCGGATAACCTTGACGACCTCCACAAATACAAACACTGAAACACCGGGTATTTCTTTCATTGCATTGACCTATAAAGGGGAATTGACTTGTCATGACCCATCGAGTGGCCTTAACCTAAACTTGGCTCCATTATACATGTACCTTCTAGCCCTATTCAGAGCTTATCACCTTGAGTGACTCTTGCAAGTTGACCATAGGCATAAGATTCAAAGAGAACTACACTTTTATGATATGTTCCAGTTCTACATCAATGAAGTGGTGCTAGTTGAGACAGATATGGTGACTGATGCGGGGGTCATACATGGTATTGATGGACTGCTCTGGCCCCCAGAACCAAGATGGTGTATGGATGTCAATACCTCAATCCATAATGTAAGTTATACTTTCCTCCTTTTGATCCTAACTGCAGTTCCTTTAATCAGGTGTTATTGCTGTATTCTATGAAGAGTTAAGTTGAAGAAAAAGTAAGCTTGTTTAAAGCCACTCTTGCCATTGTGGGATCCACAGCCTTTACTATCCTTTTGGAATAGTTCAGACTGTGGGATACTGACTGTAATAAATGTTTCCTTAAACCCTAAAATGTACGGACCAATTAAATTATTTACAGAGTTCTATTGACCATGAGTATCATGGGAAGGCATTACCTGCAGTTGCATGATTACATAAGCAGACAAAGCCTAATGAGTGTGACCAAACACAATTCCCTCCCAAATAATCCAAGTGTTGACATTTGCATGATAATTATTGTTTAAAATTCTAAATTGGAAAACGATAAGAAAAAAGAAGCATGTCAACATTATCATAGTTATTAATTTTCAATATAAAAACAAGAACCATCAAGATAAATAAAAGTTTTCCACATAATGAATTCATTGAATTAAAGTTTACAAAGGGGAAAACAGACCGGTGCATTCTTAGGCACTAATTTATTCCTCCATATACACTGATTTACTTGGAGAATGCACTGGCTAGGAAACGTGTTCTGCCTCATGATATATTACCCTGCGTGCAGAGTCTAGTTAAACTACACTCTGCCTAGTAGAGACCATATTACAGTTTAGTAGCCCCGCCCCCACGACGGGTACCGGTGACAGTTTGAGTAATAAATCACTTCTGACCTACGCGCTGACCTTTCTTCCACCATTCAGCGAGCTTGAAGAAACACACGCCAAATGCGTTCTAATTAAATATGCTCATGTCATTGGTCAATTCCGGGCTCAACGATGACATCAGAAGGAATGACCATATATAGAACGTCGGTCAAATTTGGCCGACGAACACTGATTGGCGCGGTGAGTTCACAGGTTTATTTTAGTTTGAAAGAGTGAAGACGAAGCTCTCTTTTAAGAAGTGAAGTCAAACGAATGCAAAGGGTAATGATATATCAGAGTCTCTCAAAAGCGTTAGGTAAAGAGGGACTCTGATAAATCAGAATGACTCTTGCAATTCAAGGTTCATTTTCTGCATATAGATTTGTTCAAGCAGAGACATATAAAACTTCACATGTCTCTATTTTATATGTCTCTGTTTTATATGTCTCTGGTTCAAGTCACTCCACACCCATAAATGTTCCACTTAAGGGGAAATAAAAAACCAAATGAAAAATGATTTCCATTAATTGTTTTAGTCTTAGTCTTGCCTTTATTTTATTTTTATAATAATGTTTATAATTACTGTTCAAAAAAATGATTATAGCATTGTTTCATGTCGTACTTAGTCACTATTAATCTGCTAATGCTATTCAATTGGATGTTTATTTTATTTTATTACAGTACATTGTTTTCTGTTAGAATTGCATGTGTAAAATTAAGGTTGGAATTGGTACACACTGCATATAAAGCTAAATGAATAGGGTCATCTCATATGCTTCACATTTAATTCAAAAGTTTAAAACAATTGTAAAGGTATAAATGTACATAAATTACCCCTTTCCCTGCAGTGGCGTAACCAGGATTTGACAGAAATTCAGGGTTCGAATAGTTTCGGCAATTTTTTTCCAAAGGATTGGTATCGATATGGAGGACTTTTTGAACACACGTTTCTCTTTAACCAGTCATAAAAAAATCTAAAAATTTAACACATCATCAATTTAATGGTAATCTTTTGAATGGTAACAATATAATTTGAAAATATGTATATACTTCCATCTACGTATATTGTTTTAGAAAACACATCAAACACTTGTTTTGTTCTTGGTATCATGTTTCCAGAGTGAAATGAAACATCTTTCCGAACCTCATTGGAACAAAACGACATAAACACAAGAATTGGTAGAAAGGAGCAAAAACAATTGCACTAAAAAAAAAAATGTTTACAAAAACAGTTATATAAAATATTTCTAAATAATTTTCGCATGAAATTGTTGTCAATCAGTCAACATTACATAAAATACTGTGTTTTTTACAGAATGTTTTCAATGATTGGTTTAAGAGAAAAACATTGTTGAATTCAGATCTCCATATCGATACCACTCCTTTGCTGAAGTCTTGCCAAAGCTTAAATTTTGCCAAATTTGCTTAATTTTGGTCCATTTTATTAATTTTTGCCAGTTTGCTAGAATCTAAAAGTTTTACAATTGCCAGAGAAAATATCCCAATTTGTGACCAATTTCGTTCATTTGGGACATTTAAGGGCAAAAATCTAGAACTTTTTTCAACAAAAGCCTATTAAAATCTCTTTAGATTTTAATGTTTTTATCATTTTCTGGATAGCTCAGAAAAATAAATCCAAAATAGATAGCTCAGACATAGACCCCCCCCCCCCAATTTAATTCAAGCATAGGTTGTGTAATTGTCTTCTATTTTCCATTGAACAATGTGCTCTTCAGGAAAGTAGGAGGCAAAAATTATCAAAGATGTGAGTCCCAATGAAAGAAAACAATTTTGAAAGTGACCCCTGGCCAAAAATATAATTTTCTAGTGTTCATCACGTTCATTGCATCACTGATCTTTCACATGTTCAATATTTATTATCAAGATTTCTATCATAAATTAGGGACTATTTAGACGCTTATATCTAATCAGACAATTTCTACTTGGTAAGTATGCTTTATTTGTACAATTGAATTCTTTTTGATGGTGTTAGATCGGTATTTCAGGCCTAAAATGCGAAGTGCAAACCTATTACCGTCAATCTCAAAATAGATTGTTTTTCTGTATTCTCAGTCTTTTTACTCAAGATACAGTTATACTGTACATGTAGGCTAACATATTTCCATCTCTGCATACACCTCAAATATTTAAAGTAATCAAAAAACGATAAATTACTGAAATACTGCAAAATATTAACTCAAAATTTGGGGGTTCGCATAATTGCCGGAAAAACCCTCCGAACCCCCTCTCCCTACGACCCTGCCCTGAGTATGTGTTATCTATCATGTTTTCATGACAAGACTTGAGGAACAACAAAGATGAATAATTAAACATGATTATTGAAAATGTAGTGATTGAATAATTCAACACCTTATTCAACATTTTCATGCTACACAAATTCTTGTGTGACAAAACTTGTTATGTAGGAATCAAGCCTACTCTGGTTCCTTTGTAATTTTGTTCACAACTCTAAAAACAAATGTGAACATTTCTTGTAATTTATCACTGAAACAAAAGTCAATTCCTTTTAGATATTTAGCAAATCTTATCACACAATGTCAGAATAAAATTCTATATCAAATTGTGCGTTGATTATATTCCAAAAATAACACAGAATTGGTTCTGTTATTTCATTAGGACTGGAAATTAAGTGAATTCAGTATTTACTCAAAAAACAAAGAGGAAGATAAGAAAGGAATAATGGGAATATTAAATCTTCTGTGCACCTCATTGATTTCCAAATTGACTTTATAATGTACAGTTATTTTGTTTATTACTCATTTATCTTCATTAAAGGCCAGGAGAACCTTCTATATTATAAAGGAACAGTTGACATGTTAGGAGGAGTAAACCTTAATCTACAGGTCTATTTTGAAGAAAAAACTTAATCTACCAGCCACAGGTTTTTTGGGTGTAACCTACAATCTCAAAACATTTCACTCAAACATACAGATATACAGACCCTAGGTCTTAGAACTTAAGAGAAATAAACTTCAAAACAATTTAGAGTAAATCATCATCACATAATTTGATATAGTTCGGATTCAATTTGAATTTCAGTCATCTTGTGGCCCAACTGTAGCACCATGCCCAGAAGGCTATTTTCCAATGGCAACAGCCATGTGCAATATGACAAGTCCCCAGGGTGTGACCACCATGTCCCTGAATGAAGTGACCAGTTCCCAAAGCATAATGACAAGTCCCAAAAGTAAAATGGCTAGTCTCCAAAGTGAATCGACAAGTTCCCAGCTGATGGGTATGATGAGCATCTGTGTAAAAACCATTGAAACAAGAAAATGTTGCCATGGATTTAGTGGTGAAAACTGTACAGGTATGTCTTCTTTGTTTTCCTCATATAATGTGTAATGTTAATCATCTTAAATGATAATACATATAGTGGCACATTTAGTTTCCCCTCAAGCCAAGAGTGGCATCAAATGGAATCTGATAGAGCCCATTGTTTGTAAAGGGACTTTCTATGTTACCCTTTGGTGGAAAAACTGGAATTTGCTATTTTTGAACTGTTCCATCATCAAATTAATAAAATTCTCTTCAAGCTATATGTCAGATTATCAAGGGAAAATATTTTTTTAAATGTCTTAAATGGCAGAATAGTTGTATAGTATAGAATGTAAATATTGTAGATTTTTTGTTTTCTCTTTGTTATGTATTTGCATATTTATCCAACCAGCAATTTGGTAGAAAGATAACATATTTACAATTATACAAAATTTATCAATTCATATTTATCTCTGTCACTGCATTCCCTCCCGAAATATTGATATCTTCCTTGTAATATTCCCCACATCAAATCCCTCCTGGTGAATAACTACATGTAGTCATTTTTCCCAAAGGGGGTTCACTTTATAAAAATATATGTTCAAATTGAAATTGTTCAAAATTTGTTACGGGTCTGGATAAACTGCATGTATGAAGCAAGTAGAGGATTAACAAACTACGAGTATAAGATTATGTTTCAATATGAAAATTCTATCAACAAGCTCACTGAGATAATAAAAATTGAAAAGTTAACTTGTACTTAGTTTGACAGAGAGTAACCACATATTTGAATTGGCTTGAAACCTATAATCACATATTATCTCCCCATGAAGAAAGCAAATTGTAGTATATTAGGTTCCCCTGTTGATATTTACAACACTGTGTGTGTATTAGTTTCAATCAAACTCTAGCGTTTCCTGTGTATGGGTGTGAACACCTCTGATTTGAACATCTCTCTACTGAAGCACCTTTTTAAAGGTTATAGTCCCTGATCTGGACCCTCTGAAAAAAAGTTTTGTTGTCCGGTACTTTCCCACATAAAATGATTGTACCGTTTGAAAGAACAGACTTCCCTCTTAAATAAAACACCTTTTCTATTGATGTAAACAGGGGCAAAAGGCACCAAAACGGGGTTAGACAAGGTGGCATTCTGAAGTCTCACTTTCTTGTCATCACGATTCCAGGTAAACCATCAGACGGATTTACTTCAAGTTTTCACACATGTTACATGGTAAGAAGTTCTAGAGCTGATTAACTTCGCGGCGGCCATCTTGCATTCTGGCGGCCATCTTGGAATTTTTTTCAGATAAATATTGTCATCGCGATTCCACAAAAACCACACAACAGATGTACTTCAAATGTTCACACATGTTACATGGTAAAAAGTCCTAGACCTCATTATTTTTTCGGTGGCCATCTTGCATTCTGGCAGCCATCTTGGAAGTTTCAAGATAAATCTTGTCATCACGATTTCAGGAAATCCAAACGGATTTACTTCAAATTTCCACACATGTTACATGGTAAGAAAATATAGAGGTGAATAACTTTTCGGCAGCCATCTTGCATTCTGGCGGCCATCTTGGAAATTTTGGGATAAATCTTGTCATCGTGATTCCAGGAAAACAACCTAACAGATTAACTTCAAATTTTCACACATGTTACATGGTATGAAGTTCTAGAGCTGATTAACTTTTCAGTGGCCATCTTGCATTCTGGCGGCCATTTTGGAAGGTTTATAGATAAATCTTGTAATCACGATTCCAGAAAAACCACTTCACAGTTTTACTTCGAATTTTCACACATGTTACATGGTATGAAGTTCTAGAGCTGACTAACTTTTCGGTGGCCATGTTGCATTCCGTCGGCCATCTTGGAAGTTTTTAGATAAATCTTGTCATCACGACTCCATGAAAACCACGTAACAGTTTTACTTCAAATTTTCACACATGTTACATGGTAAGAAGTTATAGAGCTGATTAACTTTCCAATAGCCATCTTGCATTCTGACGGCCATCTTGGAAGTTTGTAGATAAATATAAAATACAGTCAAAGCACTTACCACCAACAAAGGATGCTCTCATTCTCCATATAAATAGAGCCAACTATCAGGCCTATATTTGGCGAAACGCAGGCAAATCAATGATTGATTATCAATCCCCCACATTACATGGTTGGACATTCAAAGGGAGTAAACTACAAATTAAGTGGATGGAAAACGGTCCTGCCCCACAAGAAATAATGGAGCTTGTTGCTTGCAGTTGTAAAGGAGCGTGTGACTCAATGAGATGTAGTTTTAAGAAACAGGATCTCATTTGTGGAAGTTCATGTAAGTGCCGCAAAGGTGTGTGTGAGAACTGTCCAACCCATCAGCACGATGATGTTGATGAGAGCGACAATGAATTTGAACCAGTTGATGACACCATTACACCAAACGTTGAAGATCAGGAAGAAAATGAATTACCTGAAAATCTCTTACCTGACAACTGGATGAACCAACTTGTCAAAGTTGATGCCATAATATGAATTATATCACCCTGTATATACACTGGTGATCCGCTCGATTACAGGTACGATTTGTCCTTATTCCTTATTTCATGCGGTGTAGGCAGAATCCTCTCGACGTTTTTTGTCACAAACGTGAATCAGTATCATATGTCTTAGAAAATGTACATGTTTGCGAAAAATAGCTCAGAAAATCGTCGATTTAATTCCTAACTTAAGTTACATAAAGGTTTGGGTTAAAAGTGCAGATCTGTACCGTTTTTTCGAAATACCATTTATGTAACTTAAGTGAGGAATTAAATGTACGATTATGTTGTCTTCTGAACTATTTGTTTGCAAATATGCACATATGATACTGATACACGTTTGTGAGAAAAAATGTCGTGGGAATTCTGCCTACAAAGTGTGAAAGGAAAAAGGAAAAATCATACCTTCGATGTTCCCACATTTTGTTACCGAAACAAACCGTTTAGGTAACCAGCATAATCGAGTGGATCACTATAATATACTTTAGTAGTCTTTAATAATGTTAGGGAGGATGAGTTGTAAGGCATACTATGTCATGTTAGATCATGATCTATACTATTTTTTATTACAATTTACCAGTTACACTTTCTCCATGCTATGTTCTATTATAACTTTTGTTCCGTTTCCTATGGCATCCGTGCTTTATACATTTACATTCACAATGGTCCCTTCCTGGTATATTTTTTTAGGTTTTATGACTGTTAAATTCTATAGTCTTGTTAAGACCACTTTATAAACAGGTTTATTATTACTTTTATGACTGTTAAATTATATAGTCTTGTTAACACCACTTTATAAACAGGTTTATTATTACTGGTGTAACTAACACAGCGAAAAAAAATATAATTAATTTATTTGATTTTCGATTAGAAATATATTTAGTTGAAAACTTAGAGTAAACAATCACAAAGTTTATTTTGGTTCAGTAGATTTTTCTATACATTATTTTGATGTCACCACCACTAGTGATTGGGTGACATATTTTAATAGCTTCGAACGTTTATCTTGACACTGTTCAGTAGTTAATGTGTACTGTATACTTAACAAGGTGTGGTGACATTTTGCATGTTTCTGCATCGTCCCTACTATTGAAAGCTTATGTTGATATTGTAGCAGTGTTTTTTAAGTTCTTTTTGTTGGTACAATTAATTTCCAAACCCTATACTTATATCGATCTGACACACAGTTTTAGTGCAGGTTTAAGTGATTTTTGTTGATTATTAAACGCAAAGAGCACATGTGTCTCGAACTCACAACATTGTGGATACAGAGCCCATTCACATAGTTTGACATGCTGGTGCTCTGAACCAGCTCGTTAGTTAATATCTGACTAAGAGACAGCTTGCTTTCCCGATGAAGAAACGTTATCTGCAGCTTTTATGAGTACTATAGTATCTACAACTAGTTTTGATCTTATGAGTATTGGATATCATTATTTTCAATTTTTCTTCAACATGTATTTTAATGACTTCAGTATGAATGGAATGTCCCTCGGAGTTGTTGTCGTTGATGAGGAATTGGTCATCGAACGGTGTTGATGCTGTTTATTCCCATATTAGATTATTGTCTTGGGATATTCAGGTTTGATTTTTGTTTGCCAGTTTTACACTTTACAGTTTGCTTTTCCCACTAGGTTGCTTTACACTTTTTTCCTTTCTCATTTGTCATTTTTGTTTATATTTAGTAAGGATATGATACGCAGGTCTCTCCTTCTGTATGATCACCTGTCCAGAAAATAATTCAACTGCATGAAGAACATTTCGTTGACATGATGCACAGTGAAAGGTTTTCCACACATTTACATTTCGTTTAAAAGAGCTTTAATTCCGTTATATACTCAGATCAAGGCCAATTTAGCATACATTTCGCTCTCAAAAATCACTGTGCAATAATGCATGGATTTCAAAGAAATGTTTGACATTTTCAATAATCTTTTTTCTTTTTGATGAAATGTAGTTATTTATTCTAAAAATCAATCGATGTCATACACAAAATGCATTTAAATGGTATAAAGTACAGAAGCAGAGTAAAAATATGTATTTTAGAATATTACCATGTGTTACCCCATTGTAGCGCCTCTTGCCCATGTTTCTATCAATATAAAACATGATATCATACACCAAATATGCATCTATGTCAAATTATGTGGTTTAAAATACAGAAAAATAGATAACATTCTCCTTAGAATACCACCTTGTGTAACCCCACTTTACTGCCTTTTGCCCCTGTTTATATCAATATAAAAGGTAGCACGTAACCTTCCTTGTAACATGTGTAAAAGTTTCAAGAAAATCAGTAAAGTGGTTTTCCTGGAATCACAATGACAAGATTTATTCAAAAAACTTCCAAGATGGCCGCCAGAAAGCAAGATGGCCACCGAAAGATTAATTAGCTCTAGAACTTCTTACCATGTAATATGTGTGAAAATTTGAAGTAAATCCGTTTGGTTTTCCTGAAATCGTGATGACAAGATTTATCTTTAAACTTCCAAGATGGCTGCCAGAATGCAAGATGGCCACCGAA